TTATCCTATTAAATAAACGTTTAATTTTGAAACGACTCGAAAAATCCCAATTAACTTTAAAATAAAACTCATGATTCCCCATTAAGGAATGACAGGTGGCATTTACCACTGTTTATTTTCATTCTAAATTGAACTTAAATCAAGTTGCACAAATTATGTGATAGAGCGTTCCTGGTATCAAATAACAGCAATCCAGCAGACGAAGAGTCTGCAATATTTCAGCAGTTTTGCCAACTCAATTTGCGACAGCTGATGTCTACAATCCACACGCTATATAAGATAGTGATGCCAACACGTTTCTGTAAGACTGTGCGTGAGGTTGGAACTAATTTCCATTAGGGAAACTGTTTCGTTGCTAGGCTGAAGACTCATTAAGCTAATGCAAGATCTGAGAATCGAATTGGATATTTTTGCAAAAAAAAACAGTTTTATCATTGTTGAGAATAAGCTTTCTGTCAACAGAAATCATTCCATCTGTTTCAGTTTTCAGCCCAACACTTCGTCCAATTATTCCGCAGGCGTAAGTTGCCGGAATTTCAGATGGAATTGAGTGATTCCTAATATCTTAAAAACTGTATAACTTTAAAAGTGTCTGCTATTTCGTAACTTGAGCAAAAATGCAAATTTGTACCCACTAGGAACGTTAGTGCACAAACAGTAATGTGTTATTTTCTTTCCTATAACCATTAATCAATGACTTGATAATGAATAGTTATAAAATATTCTTTTTGTAGAAATTATGACGATCATGACCCATGAGTATATTTTCAATAGTATTTAATGCCGTTTGTCTTATTGACTCCTATCATGGTTAATGTAAAAGAAGCGCAATAAGGAAGTTACTCATTCATTTTTATCCATTAACTCCCATTAGAAGTTATTGCGACAAAGGCCACGCATCTCAACAACAATTCACACACTTTTTTTGTTGCCAATTAACTTCCAAAATACCTTTTCTTTCATTTATTTTCCTAAATAATTTGTTCCCATAAGCGATCGACCGCCTAAAATAATAAACGATGTCTGACATCAAAAGAACTAGCGCTCTGATGGAACTCGCTGAATTCTTCCTGGTGATGGCAGACTACGACCAGCGGCATCTCATCATAGGAGGCGGTGATTGATGCCTGAGTTAATGATGCTGCGTTCTCCATTAGGAGAACAGGACTGCGTCTGCAAGACAAGAAACACTGATCACCGGTTCACGTGCAAGAAGTGCGCAGCATGCACTCGGTGACGATGCATTAATAAATTATCATCATTATTCAGGAGCGATTCGAACCCTCTTCGAGCGTTGGGGCGAGAGATTCTTTACGAAAACGGTTTATTCGACAGATTTGGGCAAAATGGGTGTAATACATCAAACAGAAAGAAGAAATATGGAATTGTATTTATGCATGTGTCATGAGAAGAAAAAGTGAGTCTCTGAATTTCTGAAATGCATTAGATATACAGAGTGATTCGTGAAATTTTTTGAAAAGAGTAAATAACTACATCTTGGAATTATGCCAAAGGCTCTTAGGACACTGTTATTGATTTTTTTTATTTGCTTGTACACATCAAAAAGATTTACTGTGTGTTTGTTTACAATGCGAACCCAATATAGGGTTGCCGTTTGTTATTCCACCTGTAGAACCCATGATGTTTACTTAAGGTTTAGTTATACCTGTAGAGTGGAGGTTGCAGAAGAGGAAAGGTTGGTTTACTTTGAAAATTTTAATAAATAAATTAAAATTGTTAATGTTACATCAAATAGAGTTGTGCAACTTTGAGAGTTTCTGCAACACGAACGTAGGCAAGTGGAAATGTAGTCCTTATTCACACGCTCCTATAACGTGGGAAAGAGATACAATATCTAATGTTTTATTAATAATAAATCGTTCGAGGTGCAAGGATTAATTCATATTAAACAGCTTACACGCAGTAGAGACGTTTCGAAAAAAAATTCTTGTTTCTTTAATTAAAATTAAAAAAAATCATTGAAAGTATTTTAAGTATCTTTGGAAAATCAGTTTGTAATTCAATAAATCTGAGTTCGACTAAAATAGGTGATACTTCTTTGCCAGCCTTATTTAAGTGCAAAATTATTTTATTGTTCCAGTCAATTACTAGTGACCTCTATTATACTGATATGCAAAAGCTGACTAAAAAGCTAACGCATCTTTTAAATTATCTGTTTATTACTGTAATTTCGACTAAAAAATATATCTACTTCAAAGAGTAAATGCCCTTTCAATAATAATAATTAATAATACAGAATTCAAGGCATAAATGAAAGGTTCAAGTCATTTAAACACTTTGATTTATTCTTTACACTCATTTTATGTCAGTCGTTGTCAAACGAAGATGAATTTGATGGTGTGATGCGACAGTTAATTACAGTGAAAAAGACCATAAATTAACTGCTTTCATTTATATCGCTGGAGGCTTCCAGGCTATCAGCACATTCACAATGCTTAGCACTGTTGATGTTATCTTTTTAGTAGACTGTATATGAAATTGGTTACTTAAAACTTATTGTGTTCGTTTGAGCACAAAAAATCCACCCAGCCTTGAGGAGTTTTTAACTTTCTTGATGACTGACAAGCCCAAAATGTGTTAAAATAGACATATTTTTCAACGAGTTTTTTAAATTTCCCTCGTTTTTGTAATAAAAAATTATACACACCAGAGCAGTTCAGAAAGAAATCAGAAATCTACCTACATTCGTATGTATTAAAGGACTTCAAATGAAGTTGTATTTTTCAAGAAAGCATCCTTCCAAAGGTACTAATGCACTACGTATTCCCAATTTTTCTCCAGATATGCCATTTCGCCAAAAATTTTTTTTTTTAATGTCAGCAAAATAGGTCAGCAACAGCAGTAATTAACCTTTCATTTAATTCAAATCTTTTCCCTCAACTTTTTTTTTACAAATTTAGGTCCAATAAGTAAAAAAGTCGTTAAGTCAGGTCAGGTTTAGTCACCTCGCACATTGGTTGTAGCCACTCAATCATCAGCACTCCTTTTTAAATGCAAAAAATGCTTGTCATTAGCTTTTGATGATGGAATTTTGACCTTTCTAAGAGGGAAACAACTTTGTCAATAAATGGCTACCATTCGTTTCTTTTGGTAAAAAAATAAACACCTTGGTGCTCTATATTTTTATTTCTCTCATTATTGTTTGCTATTTATAAATACAGCAAATGACCCAAAACTTCGTCTCTGAACTCGTAAAAGTTCCAGGTATCGATGTAATAACAAAAATCTGTTATCGTTCGTTTTTGTTTCATGGCTTCTTTCTGAATTGCCCTCGTAACTAATATTTAACAAAGCGACAAAAGTTTTTTTATTATTCTTGACAAACACCATGGAAAAGTGTTTTTACTGTAGGAACAATTCTTGCAATGCCTTTTAAGTTAAGTATCGTTGTTTAGTTGTTGTTTTTTTTTTTCTACTTATTTATTCTAGGTATTGAATGCTAAACCATTTTGTCAATAGTAGAAAAATTAGAGTACTGAACTCCCAAGAGATGGTTACTATTATTCGTTGGACCGAAATGTACCACTCGCTACGTTCGTATTTTGTGATTTTATAATTGATATTTATTATATCTATCATTAGTTATTAATTTAACGGCTTTAAGGAAAATATCGCTTTTGTCATTTTTTTAATTCATTGCTTAAAATTTTTGCCTTAATCGATTATAAAAAATTATATTTTTAAAGAGATTACCTAATTATGTATGTGATTACCTACCTACAGAAATTTGGTGCTTTAGTGTGAAATAAAACCAAAACTTACTGAAATGAGCAAATTAAGGGCTTTTAGAGTTAAATTTTAAAATTGTAACTTTAATTAACAGCTCCAAGAATTTTTTATGAAAAGGTGTTAGGTACATCAATCACACACTACAACTTCTTGGTGCATGGTCTCTATACTTTTACTCCAATAATTAATAATAAAATGCTAAGTCTCTCCCCTTCAAACCGAAAAATTTGAAAGTTAATTGATATTAGAAGAGCAGCCACTCGGTATCTTCCAAGGACGTGACTGAAATAGCGTTCCAAAGCTTCGCATCTTAAAAGAAACAAACCAGCATGTGACACCAATGAAGTCTTCGTTTCAGGAAACGAAATAAACAAAGACACCGTTCAAATTCGATTATAAAATTATTGCCTTGTAAATAAATCATAACAAGCTTTTCGTGCAGGTGGCCATGTGCCTGCCAACTTATAAATCGAATTAAAGTGGTAAAAAGGAACCAAGCAATTATCGGAAAGACCGAGAGTTTTCAAGAAAACCCATTCCTGCTAACTAACATTGAAGCCTGAATCAAGACCGGAAGTCATTAAAAGTTACACCAAAAAGCTGACACAAGTCACTTGAAGTGTGAATTATGTTTATACAATAATTTGCATATGTTCCCTCCATTTCATTGATTACGATCCGAATCGGTTATAAGAGACTGAGCTCTTGTGTAGAATTGTTCCTGAGGGAACTACCGTCCCAAAAACCGCCTTGTTGTGTTAATTATCGTTAATTTCCACGTTCCTCAAACGTTTCCATCCACGTAAGTTTCATTTGCAAAATAGTATCGTGAGTCATAATCGCTGCATAAATATGATAAGCAGAGCCTCCGAAGGTTAATCTGGAATCTGCATAATACCAAGGAAGAAACGCCGCCAGAATGGCTAATTCGGGAATGGTCACCAGTCGTTTGATCTTTGGCGGATTAAGAGCGCTTAAAGCGTCCTCCATTTCCGAAATCCGGCCAATGTGTGGTATAATCAGAGTGATAGAAACGCCATGCCAGAAGTTGATCCTTGAATAGCATGGTCGCCCGTCAATCTCTCCACCAGCTCCTCGTCTTTTTCCATTTCTCCAAGAGAGAAGGCATCGTTCCCTCGCCTGCTCTCGCGTCATTTTCAAATGTCGACCAATCCGGTTACAGGTAGGGATATGTTTACCCTCATTGGAGGAGTGAAGGACAACCAGTTCCTATCCTTGCCGAGCGGCGCAGTCGCGTGTTCGGTGTGGCCAAGTGTGGAACTTGAAGAAGTGTTTGCCGTTTCTAGTTACCGTTGAGGTTTTCCCCCGTCCGATTTCCCATTTCTATGCCTACGTGATAGTGCTTTTCCTTTGGTTTCTTACGAATTTCGCGTGATATGGAACGGAGAGGTTTTGGTTTTTTTACGAAAAGGTCAGTTTTATTTTTATTTACATTTAGTTTGGGTTGATTTTGCGCGCGATTAGCAAGAGGACCACTTCGATTTATCTAAAACGGTACGTTTTTACATCCTTCATGTTGGTTTTTGCGTTTAAAATGGCGGCGATGGCTTAGGCTCTGTCTTTGTCTGAAGCTTGCATGCGCCCGATAGTGCTGTCTTCGTCTGTGCAATTTTTTTCTTTTCGTTTAAATTAAATGGAATCGGATGGAAAAACTTGACCTAGTCCGGCATGAGGTCGCTAATAGCCCGTCGGCGTCTTGCTGGATTTAACTGCACGTTAATTGCCAAGAGTGGGGCTAAGGAGTTGCGGCGACTCGGATACATCTGCTTGAAACGTGCAGTTGGTAGTAGTGGACTAGTGGTAGTTCCCCTTTAAACGGCGCTACTCGGAGCGTGTCTGTCGCGTTCGGAGAACCGTTCGAGATATCGGCTTGCTTGATTAACTGCTAGGTAATTTCGGAGATTACACACGATTGTTATTATGAAATCGATGATGGCCATGTTTCCGTTTCCCTTCTTCCTCTTCATATTTAATAACTCACAAATTGTCGACCCAAAAATAAACCAACTACAAATCAGCCCAAACAAAAAATTAACGCTACTCCAAATTATCTACACCAGGGTTTCCCAAACTGTGGTTAAATTTATAATGAATTGTGCAATTTTAATAGCCTCTTTCAAATAAATAACCTGTTTGTTAACGGATTTATCAAAAATTAAAATTAATAGAGACGAAAATGCTGATTCGTGGTTGAAAAAGTTTGGTAAACGCTGATCTAAAATTTAAAATGGATCTGGGACATGCAATTCCCTAGTGGGGAGAGCCATTGCATTTGCTCCACCCACATAATGCCACCAATAAAAACTACTGGCAGATTCAATCTACATAAAAATGTTTAGATAAAACTGATGATAATAGGCCAAAACTTGCCACTTCCATCTAACCACCTTGTTAGTAACCATTTTTATTGGTTACTAAGACAATACAATGGGTAGGGTGTAGGTAATTTTTGCGACTTAAACATAAGTTAAAAAATGAATAAAACAAAAACCAAATGTTTTTTTTTTGATACGATCAATTCCTTTGGTTCTACATATAGAATTAAAATTGTTGAAATGTTTTTTTAAATTTATATCTATTTAAATCTAAATTTTTAAATCTACCTTCATTATTAGTAACCAATTTTATTGTCAACTATGAATATGCAATGGGAGGGGCAAATTAGAAGTTAGAAGGGCTAGAGTATATCCAATTTCATCAGACACAGACATGCCAGGCCCACTTTGATGCTAATACTTAATAATAGTTTCAAACTTTCAGTTTCGGTATAAATTTCATAGTTTGATACTATTACTGGCTTATTATTATTAGTAAAATTAAATACATAATTAAATAAATGCTTTAAAAATCCGGTTTTAAAAGCTACGGATTTGCGTACTATAATATGTTGTACATTAATTATTAAGTAATATATTTACAACAAAAAATGCTATAATTTTTGCGTGCGAGTTACGAAAAATACCTACTTTTTGTTCTGTATGTCATGATAACACTGTAAAATTTTGCCTATTATTTCAAAACTACTCTGTAAATGTTTTAACGATTAAGGATTCTTTAGCATACAGTTTTATTTAACCCCCAAAATTAAAAGTAGAAACAACCTTCGAGATTCTATAAACTTAAAGAAAAAGTAATCTAATATCCTTGGTAAAAAATTAAACAATATGTATACACTTTTAAAATATAAGAAGTCCGTTTCTCTCGAAAAAATGTAACCCCAGAACAACTCACAAAAATTGACATTTCAAATTTGGATGTTAGTGACAAGATATTTGACCAAAAAAACATGCACAAACTAACAAAACTAAAAAAAATATGTTCACCTTTATTTAAAATATCACAAATTATTGAAATGTATATGTATTAGACTTTGCTAACATAAATAATATAAAAAAAAATTCTACGAACTCATGTTTCCAATTAAAATCTAAATTGGCCTCTAAAGTCGATTTTTTCAGTAATGAACACTATTAAAACTGAAATGGGAGTCAGATTATTATGTTACATGAATGGATCAGTGGAAATTTTCAAGATTAAACGAAATTTCTTTTATTAGGACCAAAACTAAAAGTTTTTCCCTTTATTATAGTTATATTTCAGACATTTGCGACAAGTGTTGTGAAAAAATGTGAACTGTGAACTTGTCACAGATGGTCATTTTAAAGCTCCCTATCTAGAAACAATTTCTTCTGTGTATGTTGCTTATCAAAAGTATGCAAGTGATGTTGGGTCTATGGTTCAATAAATACTCATCACAATAAGTGTATAAATATTTATTCCCACATGTGATATTTATGTGTAGATTTTGCTTTGTTTTTTAACTTTTCATAAATACATCAATTATTAAATATTATGGAGATCAAAAAAATGGTTAAAAAAATTGAAATTGATTTAGCTATGGTAAATTAAAAAGGCACACTTGAATTAGCAATGTTCTGTTTATTTAACTGGTATTTATCTTAAAGTCGTTATTGCATTTATGATTGCCATTATGACTAATTAGAAACACAAGCAGCCACTTATTACTAACATCCATCACATAAGATATTTGCACTTTAATGACTATTGTAAAAATACAATGGCTTTATTATTATAATTAGAAAGTGCTCGTATACATATTCATTTCGTGGATACATTCGTTCCTATTTCTATTTTTATTATCTCCCGCTATAAAAAATAAAATATAGGTACATAAAAAATTGGGAGCTTTTCAAAATTATAGTTTGTTTCGTCGACAATGCCGCGTAACGAACTTTTGCGGTCGAAATTCAAACGAACATTGGGTTAAATTATACGTTTCAGACAAATTTCGTGTGACAGTATAATCGAGACCTCGTTTGGTTCAATTTTCTTTTTTCCTTTTACAGCAAAAGGTTTAAATTCATATAAATACGGACACATAATCTGAAATAATAAAGAGCGTCAGATAAAATTTATACCAGACAAATGATTAAATTTTTTAATGCAATTCGCAGAGATTAGATTTATTTTACCATAGCCAATCCAATTACGACAGTCGGCTTGCCATCCATCATCAGTATTGGGGAAAGGGAAATGTGGATTGTAACTGAAACACCTTGAATAAAAATCCGATTTTTCATGATTAATATGCAAATAAGAATAAAATAAATAATAATATAAATTTTTCTCGTAGTCCTGCCATCATTATAATAAGAACGCACCAAGTGTTGACAATAATCAAGCAGCATTGTGTATGCATCCGGTAAATTTCCATTTTATAAATTGCCTTCTTTTCCACTCCCCGTCATCTACAAAGCCTTACAGAATTTAGAGAGAAAGAAACCGGAGATGAATGTGCAGATTTGCAAATCTGTGGAAGGAACGATCGGCAGGTCAGCGGATTTGTCCTCAGGAGGCTTTTTTGAAAGTGGTGTATCCCCAGGGGGCGGAGCACCATCATGACGTTGAAATATGTAAACCACACTTTGGGATTGTATGGAAATGGGATGAGTTTGTTTACGAGCCGATTCTTCGAACGATCCTCGAAAGTTTTTTATTCCGAAATTGTGAAGTTTCTTTCACTCGAGCCAAAAATAAAGAATAGATTACATTCGGCCATAAAACGTGAGCCATTTTAATATACCAACTGGTTGGGACGTTAATTTGTTTATACAGTCCATGCAATAAAACTAGAAGTTTCATCTTCCCATCCACCCTGCTCTATGGATGCTGCCTCTCCTCCTCCCTCGTCGCCCCTACCAACCCTCGTAATTTTCCTGTCGGTCGCACCCGGTGCACCAGACCTCCCCGGGGGTACTGTCGGTGGTTATATCTGGGGGTGCATACACCCCCTTCCCCAAATCATCTGTCGCAGCACCAATTATAATACTTCTTTCGCCTCCTGGTGTTTTTTTACTCGGAATTTTATCCAGGTGACGTTTTTAGCCGAATATTAAAAATTCAGGATCAAAGGAAAGCGTGGAAATGCAAATGTACTTTTTATTTACTTTGTAAACGAAGGGACACGTGGATAAATTAAAGTAATCAACAAAGCAAATAACATTTTTCAGACACGTATCTACATGTTTTTTCTCGAAAAGGTGAATATTCGCGTATACGAACGTGTTTAGCAATGCATGTATTGTAATGTTTGATAAATTGTTTAACCTCAACATCATTGATGTGTGTACAAATTAATTGAACTGTGTGACAACAACAGTTGGTTTGCTTTAAATGTTTTGATTAGTTAGCCTGCAAATTCGTACTTGGCAATTATGTTTTTCTAAGTGTTTCCTAATTACGATGACAGACAATAAAAATCGGAGAATTTCTGTTCATTTATTAAAAAATAATAAAGGAAAGTCGTTAATATTTTATTGGGTTTAAAGTGGGCTTTTTTATGTATACCCACTACAATTTTCAACAGAATTTTTATTTTGATAAAGTGGACCGGATTTTTTAAGCTCTGGAAATAGAAGAGACATTATAACTAAAATATTCCTATAGGGTGGAGAAATTGAATAAAAAGTTCAAAAAATGTAATGAGATAGACTCACTGAGTCCAATATGCGCGACTTTCCCCTATATCCGGCCATTCTTTATATCAAAAAATGATCGGAATCTATGTTTCACGTCACATCCATTATTTATATCCTCTCAGAAAACGCCAGAGAACAAGAAAATAATTCAGTATGAAATTCAGGATGTCCTTATCGAGATTCTAGGAAACATTTTCGAATAGTTTAATTTCTGATCATGTTGCTGTACCTTCTGAGAAGTATTTTGAATAATCGAATTAATTCACGATATCTAAAGCCAATCTGTTGACTCTGTCACCTTTCCACTTGGTCTAAAGTAATTACAAGCATCGAGGAAGCAGCTGTCTGCTAACGCTTATTTTACTAATAAGCGAAAAAGACAACTTGAAGCTTGTAACTGTAAGTCCGTCGGGAGGTAAATAAGTAATTACCGTGCTGTATTACAAGCCAAAGGGGCTGGAAAACAGGTAGTCTAAGCTCGAAAATTCCGAGGAACGACCTTGTCGGTTTATTAGGGCCAGTCGAGGAATTGTTATTTTTACAGACCGGCCCAGACTCCATTTTCTGAAAGTGCCATTAAATCATAAAAACGAACGGCGATTAAAATTTTAGTTCTGCATGAACCGGCCGATGTGCCTCGACCGATCGTTATGTTAAAAATCAAACCGAAATTTCGAGTGTCTTGCAAGAAACGCAAAACTCCAATAACCGTTTTTCAGTACAAACGAATGAATAAAGGAAAATTAGGACCGAAAGAGTAAGTGTATTTTTAAATCAGGGTGTGATTGAGGAGTCCAAGCACGTATATATTGGTGGCGGATCTGATTTAAAATAAATAGCCTATATAGATGCAGGATGGGCACTCAAATCTAATAAGTGTAACTAACTCAGGGTCCTGCTATCAGTAGTCTGCCAAGGGTGGTTTAAAAATGGAAAAAAGCTGCAACATTCCCTGAGGCAGAGTGTGTGGTGATTGCATTCGACCCCAACGTCTGCGAATATAAAATAATGGCGGTTTTAATAGCAATACATGGAAAAACCTATCCGTTTCTGGTTTCAAATGCAAAAATAAATGTTTTTTAACAATGGAACTAGTACTGTAAATATTCAACAGGGCATAGAAAATGCAGAAACAGGTTCTATGATGGCGGAAGTAATGATTTAATCGATGAATATTTTATTCTGTTGAGTGGAATTTTAGGCAAGTGAAAATGTTGTGGCATCGCTGCACTTCGGTTTGGTTAAATAAAATATCGCAATCTTGAACGAAAATGCTCGAAAGGAATGTTGAAATGGAGAGGACATTCAGGGAATATGCAAATGTTAATTTGAGTGGTTCGCTATATGATAACAAGCAGTGAATATTTCAAGGGGTTGCAATGTTATTTTAAAAAATACCTGTATTTTAATAATAAGAGACCTTTTTGTTCGAGACGGCTTTCTGAACTCGAGTGAAAGTAACATTAAAATTCATTTATCCGCTCTCCCGCGTCTCGAAACATAATGAATAATTAACAGCTCCAGGAGTTGTCTCAATTATTTTACTTTGTATTTAATGAACATCTCCCGTGACATTGCTCGATTCTGTAAAAAAGACCAGTTTCCAATTATTCGAATTTATACTGATTTTATTATGAAAGCGGCAGATGTTTGGAATGGGTCCGGATGGAATGAAAAAATTCGGCCACCCAGTAAATCAACTTTATTGAAGTTTGGGAAACGGTCCATCCACTTTATTAAAAATCTCTAATTACTGCTTTTACAAGTCGGAATCTGGTTTTTGGTAATGGCAAACCGTATTTTTGCAGATCGGCCGAGTGAAAGTATTTTTTCGAGATATCGAGAAAACTTCAGGTATCAGTTACATTTATTTCTCCCCAATGGCTCATTTCAGTCTCACTGTGCACTCCAGAGAAAGTGCTTTATTTTTTTAATGAAAATTCTGTCAGTTATTGTTCGGCACAATATTTTTCTTTTATTTTATTCGATTCAATTTCATTCTTTTTTACTTCCAACGAAACAAAAGCCCAGCATACCCGTTTTACCAAAACGGTGTTATGGTAACATGCAAAATTCATGGTGTTTTCCCACATTATACGTGCTTGTAAGCCGCTCTCAGAAGGTAATTTTAGTACATACATCCGCCTTCAACACATGATATGTGTGGTCGTAAAACAAAAGCCCCTGGCTTTATAACCCATCCAAAGCATAAGCATTTAACGAAATTCCGCCATAGAGAGAATTAATGCGCTACAATACTTTCAAGTCTTCAAATCCTACATTCTGTGTTAAAGAAATTAAAAATAATGTTGTTTAATTTATTACATCAAGAGCAATCCTAAATACTAAAATAACTTTTTATACTACATTTCACCATCAGTCAAATTTCAGGACTATATAAGTAATAGGCTTTATATTTCATTACCTCAAACCACAAATTTTTTTTCAAGCAAACATACATAATTATTTTCGAAAATATCATTTTCCATAATTGCGAATAAACGACAATAAAAATGAATATAAATCTTAAGAGTTAGGCATGTTAATGTACTACCTATTGTTGTTTTATTCACTGTGCAGTATATTTATTTTTTAACAAGTGATTAAAGTAATGCTTTTCTTTTGCCATATGGTTTTCGGAAGAACATAATCTAAAAGGATGTTGATTGTTTTTCCTACAAAGTAAAACTCCTATCTTTAAAAGAATTCAGATTTTTTAATACTAAAGAAAAGTTTACTTTGTTCAAATATGTTGAAGCATTTCATTGTATGCATTACTATGTTATTGTTGTGCTTTTAAATGTGGGTAAAAATTTAGTAATCAAAAAATTATTACTCACTGAAATTTTATCTTATTTTTTATTATAGGTCTCAACATTACGACAATCTGCAACAGGCTGACAGTCAACAGCATCAAAAGCAGCCACTCAAAGACACAACAAACACAAGTCCATCAACAAAACAACAAAAATTTAACAACAACGAAGACGAACAACCGAGCAATCAAGAACCGGAATCAACCCAACGCGACCCTTCTGAAAGTAACAATAATCAGCAAGCGAGTCGATCCCTTCAATGCTTAGAGACTTTAGCTCAAAAAGCAGGAATTCACGACATAACAGCCGACGATTGTAAATATGACATCGCTAACACACTCCTAAATTTAGATCGCGGCCACGAGAATTTAAGACAAGAAGCGAATAATCAATCAAACATGAGCGAGATTAAAAGCCAGCAACAGGTAAGTCAATCTTCCCTCGCAAATATTGATAATTTTACAACTTGTGTCTTTAGCAAATCGCTGATGCCAACGCTCAGGCTCAGGCTCAGGCTCAAGCTCAGGCTCAGGCCCAAGCACAGGCTCAGGCCCAAGCCCAAGCCCAGGCTCAGGTCGTCCAACAGCAACAGCAACAAATGCAACAAGTGGCTATGCAGCAGCAACAACAACAGCAGCAGCAGCAGCAGCAGCAGCAGCAACAACAACAACAACAGCAGGAACAGCAAGCCCTCGCTCCTGCACAAAGTCCCCATATGCAGCAGGTCGCTGTGACTTCGATGGGCCCCCCTCAGCACACCGTCTCGATGCACCAACAAGTGGCCCAACAGGGTCAGGTGATTCAGACACAAAACGGTCAAGTTCTGGCAACGGCCCAAACGGGAAGTGCAACTTTAACCACGATGTCCCCATTGCAACAGAGCCAAGCCCATCCTCAACAGATCAGCGCCGACTGGAGCCACGGCCGCGTCCAAGTCATCCAAAATCCCACTTATTTGCAACAAGTTTACAATACGCAAGGACAACTTCTGATGCCCAGCAATATCGCCTTGCATCCCGGTATTAACCCACAGCAAATACAAGTGATTACGAAGCCTTTTCAAGGAAACCAACTGACTCCTCATATGTTGACGACGGCGCAAGGAAAACACGTACTTCAGGGTAGTCAAGCAGGTAATTTACATTAATCAGACGCAAATTTGGGTTTATTTTATGCTTGGGGGATTTGCAAATAGCTACTTTTCCGGGGTATACGACCATTCCGACCATTCCGACGACGCAAAATCAACAAACTCTGGTTTTGAGTCAATTAGGAGTGATCAGCTCGCAACCGAATATCTTGCCCAACCATTCGGCTACAGGCAATGGCCAGGTGGCGCAGCAGAAACAGCAGGATATGCATAAGGTAAGTCGATGTTCACGTAATTTCGCACATTGGAACACTCCAACAGTCCGAGAAATAGTCTTGTAGCGAAATACGAGGTGTCATGGAGGTTTACACGACATTTAACCAACAATACAATACGTCCAAACAATTACAAAATAGTGCTTTTTGTACCTTGAAGTATGTTTTATATTGAATTCTAAAAGCCATTCAAATGAATAAAAAACAAAACTTTATTGTCCTAATTAAAACTATTCGAACAAAAAAAATAAATTAAATTAAATGGAAAAAAATAAACGCTAAGTTATTAAACTAAATGCTAAGTGTAGCGGCATTTATACTATACTAAACGATAAGTAAAAATACTAAACGGCTATTTTAAAATTACAGAAAGCGGTTACAAAATAAAACGAAAAGAAAAGTAGGGAAATTAATTAAATGCATAGCAGTGTAGTACTTAAACGTCAAATATTTTTGTTCATTAAAAACGGTAAATATTTAATAGAAATACAGTTAAATGATATAGATGCTCATTAACAAAATAAAAAACAAGGCAAGACAATGATTGCAATTGTTCATCAGTAAAATAATAAATGTTCTGTAATACAATAATTAATACCAGGTGAATAAAAAGTATGGAACCAAACGTTTTTTCCTTATACTATATATTTTTTGAAAAAACTAATTGATGAGTGATAAAGTACTATAAAAATGTGATGATTTAACAAGAATAAAATTTTTCGAAATTTCCTTGTTTTTGAGTTCTACAAAAAAAATATTTTTTTAAATGGCAACCCACTATAAAATCATTTTCCTCATAAAAGTTATACTCTAAGGATTACAACTATCTGCTTTATATTTAATGTTTTCAAAAAAAAATTTTCACATAAATTGCAATTTTGACAAAAAAAATGACATAACTCAAAAACAAAACAAAATTTCGTTCTGAAAATTCGATCACATTTTTTATATTACTTTAATTTATATTAATTATTATTTTCTGGAGGCAAATGATTAAAAATAAAACCGCTTGGTTCCATACTTTATGAATATAAAGTACAGGGTGAATACCCTGTATGTATAACATAGATTTTTTCGCTGGATTTTGACTCAGAAAATGCCTTTAAAGATAAATATTGCTTCCACTTTTTTTTACACGTAGCAAATTTTATTTTAATACTTCGCATTCCTACTTAGCGTTAAGATTATTTTACTTATCAAATCAGATTTATTTACTTAGCATTGTGCAAATTTTCAGTTTAGAAAAAAAGTTGCGGTCAAAGCGACGTGTTTTATTGATGGTTGAACCTCTTGCATAACACCCTGTATGTCCGTGATTGAATTTGTTCTACTTAGGTAATGGCCGGACAAAAGGTAATGCAAAAAGTGGCGAGTAGTACGGGTGCTGTAGCTCAAACACAACAAGGACAATGCGTACAAGTATCTCAAGCAATGCTCGGCTCTCAGCCGACAGCCCAAATTATCAGTCCGTTACAAGTAAGACACTTTGCTAATACTCCGAATTTTTAAGTCACTTTTACACTGTGTCAAAAAAGTTAAAGTATATGACCGCGTCACTTTTATCATTTCCGTTTTTATGTAGCAAAAACTCACCCCGAGAACCTGATAGATTGCAAAAAGTGTGAGCATGGGCTTCTTTGACTAGTGTATTATTGATTCGAGACTACGAAAGACGTAACTCGGAAAATGAACCTGTTATTTACTCAGTTTTTCACACAATAGTGATGTTATTCCTGAGGCGAACTACTTTTGAATTTTTTAGCCGGGAGGCCAGCCCATGCAATTCGCCGCTCCTTGGCAGTTCACAAATGGTCTCCAGCAGGTTTGGACAACAAACGGGATCCAATCCCAGGCTTTGTTGGCCGCTCCCAATCCAATTTTCATCAGGGGAACTCCTCCCGATGGATCTCCAGCCCAGGGAATGTTTATCCAGCAAAGCCCTCAAGCTACGACGATTCAAGCCCAACAAAATCGTAAGTTGGCAATCGTATTTCCATTCGAATGTATTAATAATTTTCGCAGCTGCGATAGCAACCCAAGGAAATGTGCAACAGATCAATAAACCTAGACCAGCGAATGAAAATATTCAACCGAAGCAACCCACAAGTAGGACGTTAAATATATTGCCGTCGAACACAACAAATATTAGACCGGCGAGTTCAGCAGTCTCCACCCAGACCATCGCAGCGCAAACTCCCGTATGTATTTTTACTGTGTACAGCGAAGAAAATTGCTGGATTTGTGTTTAGGCTTCCATGGGTGGAAAACTTGGGACGAAAATACGAACGAAAGCACCGCAAATCCGGACTTCGCCGGCTCCCAAAGCGGATGCCTCGAACCAAACCCAAATTAAACCATACGCAAACATCCAACAGCACCACTTGGTCGGCAACAAGTAAGTTTTTAATCCCGATTCATTTCAGTGGAATCGGTTATTCTTACTTTCCCTCAATGAAGTAAGAAACACCAAAGTGCGCTGTTCGGAAGGGGTTCTAATCCCGACTGAATTGCGTTTCTTAGATTCCAAACATTAATGAGAGATCTCTGAGTTGAACTTGTGAAGGCTTCAAGTTAAACTTCGTTCCCCTCTCGACACTTTATTTCACGTAAAGTGTCTTGACTTTATCAATTTATTGCTTAATTAGAATGGTCGTGATGAATACTTCGACCGGTATGACGCCAGTAACGCCGGGATCTCCAATGTCGGTCGATAAAAATCAACAAATGGCCAATCAGAATAAAAATCAAGTACAACAAGGACAACAGCAGCAACAACAGAATCAGCAACAAGCCGTACTTATGCAACAACAGGCTATTCAACAGCACGCCATACAGCAACAACTGCAGTTCCAACAAGGGCAGCCTCAGCATATACAACCCAAGCCCATGATGAGTATGTGCACACATATTTTTACTACTACTAGCTCTACTAAACAACTTCAATAGACATTTGTTGATTTAGTAGGTTTTTAACCAATCAAAAATTTTTATTTCTACCTTCAGATCTAGTTGAAGAGAATTTCTAAATGTGTAACAGAGGCTTGAAAAATTACAAAAAAATAATATTACGCTTTAATGTAATTCAGTCTAGAATTTTATAAAAACATAATTCATTGTGTAACCGTTTTCTTTCTCTACTTGCATCTAAAATGCATAAAAAATAAGATGTACGAGTATGTACATACAATGTTGTGGGCAAAAATGAGCTTCTTGTTACACAAATTTTAATGAAAAAGATTGTTTATACAGAAAAAACTTATTTTGCAAAAGATACAGGCACCTATTATAAAAAAAAATGCAATAAATTTCATGTAATTTATTGAAATGAGCTCGAAGCTCGAATTCTTTAGCTTTAATTTCAAAATTGTTACTCTTTCAAACTAAAAACTGTTGGCGGTGTCCAATTTGTCCCGGTTTTTCGAAATTTTCTCAGATGATTTTGTTGCTGACGGTTAATGACATAGTTTTCAAATTAAATCAAAAAGCGGAACTGCCAACTTGTTTATTAAAATTACCATGAATGAATTTGCTAATGGTGCCAACGTTTAGCAGACTGTTTTCCGTTTAAAAAAACAAACAAACTATATGTCAATTATTAATTAGTGTCGGAATTATTGGAAAGATAAAAATAACAATAATTCTCGGTAATTTAATAACAGTTTCCTTTCCAACAAATATCAAACGCTAAGTGGAACAGCGCGATAATTGTGGTATCAAAAGAACACAATTAATTATCACATAATTCACAAGAAAGACTATGTTGTGTAAAATGAAATAGCGACCTGGAAATTCTATCCATTTATTTACATTGCAAACACAGTGAAGCCATATTTTAGTCATTCTGACACCTGTGATTCAAAAACCTGTGTAAAATTGACATTGTTTAATTTTTTCAGTGCAAACAATCCAGGGTATTCCCCAGCAACAGTTGCAAATGGCGGGCGAAAGACCCATAATGCCTGTCGTTTCAATGTCACAAGCTGGAGCCCAGCAAGTGCAACAAGCCATCCAGCAAACCATCCCTGGAACATTACAACAAAGTCTCCCGCTTCAATCCAACCTGGCGGTCACCCATCAACCCATGCCCATGGGCATGCTACATTCAGTATGTATTGCATTTGGGAGTCAGGTCAAATTAACTACATTGCGCTTTTATTTATTTACAGCAACTTACTCAAATGGCACCTGCAGGAACAATCATTGGCCAAATTCAGACATCTACGCAACCTACAACGATGCAAGTCACTCCAAGTCCGTCGCAAGTTCAACAAATACAACCAGGCGCACCACAAACAATCACTATTTCAACACCACAACAAGTCCCCTTGCCCCCGACGGTGCCCCCAGTTAAAATCGAACAAGGCGAAGCGGCCACAGCTGATAGTGCGACGCAGGGAACGGCTACGATGATTGCGGAACCGAACAAAGACGCACCGGGAGAGGGTGAGTTACGTTTTTTTAATTAAAAACACTGTGGAACTGGCTCTTGTTGCGAATGTTTGAGTAATTTAGAAGATCTAACCTTACTTTTGGTTTGATTTGTTTTTTGACATTTGACAGTTAATGCGGCAAGTTTTGAATTCATAGCTTACTTGTTGAATTGTGAAATAATACGCAAAAATTAACATAACCTCAGTAGTGTTGTTAAAAAAGGTTTTTTGTAAGTAAATACTTTTTATTTATACTTAGTTTTGATTTGAAAACATTTATTATGTATAAAAAAGTTGTGCTTCTTAGTCATACGGAAATTCACAACAGTCAGAGCGCATTCAAAAAATTGTGTTGTCAACAAAAGACTACATTTTTATGTTAATTCGCGTATTATTGTGCACAAATTGTGGTTTTTATCTACTTTTTTTTTTTGAAATAATTCATTACTCGTACATCTCATATTTTTACATACTAAAAATTACTATTTGTGTTTTTATTTTTGTAAATGATGCCCCACTTTTGGGGTATTGATTTGGCCCAAAAACAGTTTTTAAACCTTAAGCAATATTTTTTACCTTTGGTGAATCATAGTTTTTATGTATTTAAATTCGACCTTGTTCCTCTTTTAACATTTTTTCAAGTAATTAACAAAATAACAATATTAGAGTTAGATAATTTTATTGATATAGCTAAAGGTACATTTTGTATCCTTATGTGTAAATAATGGCAATTGTTTTATTCCTTGTAAAACTTCTGCGATTTAACAAAAACTGTTTGATTTTACATTTTTGCATAAGAACAGTTCTTCATTGACCTTTTCCTCGTTGCAGTGGCCTTACCCCATTCCGAGAACAAAGACACAAATCCGTCCAGTGACAACAAACCGCAGTTAAGTACCACCGAAACAACGGGTGTTCAACCGGTACCAATCCCAGGGACAGTCCCCACGCAGCCCTCCAATATTCCAGTGTCCGAAAACGGCCTTCCCATCGCCACAACGGCTGAAGAAGTGAAAGAGCGGTGCCCCCCTAAAGCTATGGTGAAACCACAAGTCCTGACTCATGTCATTGAAGATTTTGTTATTCAAGAATCGTCTGAACCTTTCCCGGTGACCAGAAGCGCCCTCTTGGGCGACGTGAAACCCATTCACTCGTCCAACGACAAGGAAGATGAACCTCCTCGTAAGTATTAATTTCATATCCCCTATCGATTTAAAATCAATTACGTCACGTTGATAATAATTTGAAATAATTTATCAAGTATTGATTTCTTTTCATTATTGATTATTTAAACACAACCTGTGTTTTATTCCAGGTAAGAAACGAGCTTCATCTCCGTCGAGTAATGGAATTGGGATGTCGCCCAAAGGTGAAATGGCTAAATGCGAAGCTTGTGGTACTGTCGACTTACGCGCCAAATTTAAGAAGAATAAGAGGTTTTGTTCCCTGGCTTGTGCTAAAAGGTGTGTCATTCAATTAAGATAAATTCTTCTTTATTTATTTTATTTTTTAGTGTAAAATACAAGACCGATGATAAGAAAAATTGGGACAAAGACGGGATGGAAGTGGACGTGGATTCCGGTACTTCTGGTGCTGAGAGTAGTTTGAGTCCTAATGAAGAGAATGACAATACACCAAAAGTCGATCCATTGAAGTGGAGTGTAAGTTTTGTCAATTTTTTTTCTTGTTCTTCTATTTAAATGGACGATTTTTCTAGGTTCAAGATGTGTGTGATTTCATTAAGAATCTGCCAGGGTGTTCTGACTACGCAGAAGACTTCTTGATTCAAGAAATCGACGGTCAAGCTTTAATGTTGTTGAAAGAGGATCATTTGATGACCGCAATGGCGATGAAATTAGGCCCGGCTTTGAAAATCGTGGCGAAAATAGACGATATGCGAATCGACAAAGAGCCGCCTAAACAGAATTAAATTATTCTAATTAGCTAATTATACGTTATTTAAGAGTATTTATACAATTTGTTTAAGACTGTCGAGTGATCTGATATTTTATAGTGTATGTATGAGAGAATTTCTACGACTGTGTGTGTGTGTGTGTGTGAATGCGATTAGTATTAATATTGACTGCAATTCCATTATTAACAGTTTCAAGCCGTTATGACACAAAATCTATTTCGTTTTGATTCCACTGATAATTACTAGGTTTAAAATAGAATATTATTTAATTTTTGGTATGTATTAATACCAGTGTACATAGTGTGTATACAATGTTTGCGTTCAAAACAATTTATTATTTGTATATATTTATAAATAATGTCTTTTCGTAAGTCCTTATAATAGCAAATATCTAAATGAAATTCAAAATTTCTGTTTATAAAATTTATGTAAATAAATTTTCTGTGCAATCTTCAGTTTAAAAGAATTGAATGTTAGTTTACAAATTGATATTTGTTACTATTACTGCCACTTATGATAATAAACATTTGTAATTTGTAAAATGAGTTTCATTTCCGACCTATATCCGATCCTATTAATTTTAAGAATAAAAAAATACCTACATTTTTACACATGTTCTTGTAGTAGAGGATACGAATTAGGGTCGACCTTCACCCATCTGCTTACCGGATGAAACTTATTTTTTATCAAATTTAATATGCAAAGGAATGTATTGCGAATGGGTTGCCTAAAAAAATATGTTCAAGGATATGATTTATTAAAAATACAAAAATTAATAATTTTTTATTACTTCACCTACTTGCTTACCAGAAAAATTAAATACCAATCGAAAGTATGAAGCCTAAGGAGTATGAAAAAATTGGGTTGCCTACCTTTTTCTGTTCACTACTATTGGGTTGCCAGGTATGAACAKGTGAGTCSATGTRGTAATTTGCACCGATCTGCTTGCGCAATAAATTATATATGAAAATAAAGATAATTTTATTGCGAACACGGTGGTATAAGRTTGCCTGYGAAAAAACGTTCATGAATGAGGGTTGCCGAGCTTTAAAATTGAAAAATCGGAGCAAAAAAGATGTGCGACAGAGAGGTTAAAACTCAGTGGGACGTTGGAGAAAACTTCGAAAAAAATTGGAAATACAAACTTATTTTGTTAACTTCTTCAGTTCTCATTATTTTTTAATGTTTTATGTTGGACACTAAATAATAATTGTTTCATAACACAAGGATGAATAATTATATTTTTAAATATATTATTAAAAGAACTAAAACTCATCAAAAAATCAAAATTTGTAGATGTGCCAATATTGATAATGATAAAAATATTCTAATACAAAAATACTTAAAAAAAGTCAAATTCTTTTCATTGCTGAACATTATGCAGAATTCAATTCAACAAAATTAAATGGACCTTCTAATTCGCAAGATTCGTTTTCTTTTTAATTCACCTGAACAATGTCCTGTTGATTTTAAAAAACCATCTAAAAACCAACCGAAGTTTTCAAGCCACAGTTTCATACAATCTGTAGACCTGATTTGTTGAGGTCCTGAAATCTTATACGGAATATCGAACTCTTGTCGACTTTCTGAATCTTTGATGGCGGTAAGTACCGATCAAAAATTAAATGTATTTCTGTATTTTATATTTTATAATGACAATTTTTTTAATACACTAAAAGTAAAAATCCCATAAGCCGCGTTGTTTTTGTTACTATGACAGCGACAAAAGTTTGCCCTAACTATTACAGCGACCAAACGGAACCTAACTTTTGAAAGCGTCTGAATCTAGTAGTACTTTCCATTAAATTAAATAAACTTATTTACACCTTATTTGTTAATTTAGTGATTTACGTATTCATTAAATTGTCTTACCAAATTACACTCAAGCTTTTTTTTACGAAGAAAACTTGACATTTTTAATTAGAGTTTTGTTTCCTTTGCCAGAAAACAAAATTCTTATTAAAATCTCAAGTTTACTTCGAAAAAAAAAACTCTCGTGTAATTATAAATGATAATACGTTTATCATTATCAATATTGGCACATCTACAAATTTTGATTTTTTCATGAGTTTTAATTTTTTAATAGTAAATTTAAAAATATAATTATTCATCCTTGTGTTATGAAACAATTATTATTTAGTGTCCAACATGGAAACATTAAAAAATAATGAAAACTGAAGAAGTTAATAAAATAAATTTGTAGTTCCATATTTTTTCAAAGTTTTCTCCAACGTCCCACTGAGTTTTAACCTCTCTGTCGCACATCTTTTTTGCTCCGATTTTTCAATTTTAAAGCTCGGCAACCCTCATTCATGAACGTTTTTTCGCAGGCAACCTTATACCACCGTGTTCGCAATAAAATTATCTTTATTTTCATATATAATTTATTGCGCAAGCAGATCGGTGCAAATTACTACATCGACTCACCTGTTCATACCTGGCAACCCAATAGTAGTGAACAGAAAAAGGTAGGCAACCCAATTTTTTCATACTCCTTAGGCTTCATACTTTCGATTGGTATTTAATTTTTCTGGTAAGCAAGTAGGTGAAGTAATAAAAAATTATTAATTTTTTGTATTTCTAATAAATCATATCCTTGAACATATTTTTTTAGGCAACCCATTCGCGATACATTCCTTTGCATATTAAATTTGATAAAAAATAAGTTTCATCCGGTAAGCAGATGGGTGAAGGTCGACCCTAATTCGGATCTTAGACTATTGACTTATTTCTGATTTGAAAGCTCTAAACCGACTGAAACTAAACAAAATGATTGTATTCGTTCTCGGAAACTAATAAATTCTACTGAGAAATCACATTTAATACTCGTAAAAAGCATAACAAAATATAAAAACAAGGCAAAACCTGAGAAATGACCAAAACAATGTTAAGTTTTAACGAAATAACAAGTAAGTAAGTATATTATTAGCACAAATATGACCTGTGTTCAGAGATTTTTGAGTTTTAGATAAATATTTTTTTTACATTATTAATGCGTAAATAACTGATAATTTCATAAATTAATGAACAATAAAATTATAGAAGCAGAAAGCCTTTTAGTTACATTATTATTATAATCTAATAAAATTGTATTCAATTTTAGAAAATTTGAATACATATATTTATTTATATTCATCATAATAAAAAATTTCTTCCACAGGCATATCATTGAACTAAAGTATCGTGAATTGTATATCACACTGTTTACTTTGTTTGTGCTCTTTTTATCAGAACCGAAAAATAAAATAGGGTAAACAACTCAACATCCCTGTTTTCCCACCCTCATAAATCTTTTATTATTGGAATCCTGCCTCTTCACTTTACATTTTTTACCCTACTTACGAATCGCAAGTACTTTCTCGTCTCTTTATCGTGTTTATTCGACTCGAACTTGAACGATGTGAGCAATGAGAGGAGAGTGAACCTGAAACCAGAACTGAACCGGCAAAAATTATTTAATTACCCGCGTCCATCCCACTAGCATGGATCGCATTGTAGTCATAGGAAAGTTATTCCGTTGCTAGTTGTAGTTGCGTTAGTTTTTATGTGTGGCTGTTTTGTGTTGTTATTTCAAGTACCGTTGTCTTTGCTTTCGCCGTTTTGGCTGCGAAAAAATCTGCATTAGTTCGCAACTTCCATGAAATTCTTGCATCTGGAGATTTGGAGGTATGTTAGAGATAAAAAAGTGGAGGAAAGATTACTTATCACTACTTAACAACTGTATTTTGCTTGCAAAAAGCGTCTAAAGTTGTATATTAATGGCTTGAGATATGAATAACAACGAAATCGAGCATGAAACGTAAGTAATTCCTCATTTTTTTCCTCGTTTGGTCAGGTACAGATTCGATTGCCGAGTTTGCAAAAACGAATTCTTCCTTAAAAGTTTTGAATTTCGCGCGCTGGTGCGCTGGGCAATGACTAATGCGTAGATGTCGCGCCATTTTTTCTTAACCTTTCTTATTGGTTTTTATCATTGTTTGAATTGAAGCTTGTCACATTTTCGTGCCGGTAAGAGTTGTTTAGGTGTTATGTGCGCAAAATAAGAGTTATCATCCCAAGTGGGTACAATGGAAACGCAATCCAACTGTCTCTTCATCACTTTTGTGGAGAAAGAAGGACCGTTTTTGAAAGTGTGGGGGCAAACAGACAAAAACACGTCGCTCTATATTGAGCAAGTCTTGCATAGTTTCACGACTCAATTCGATAACGGTTTTTGCATTCCTCATCCGGAATCGCTGCAGATCGGTATTTTGTGCTGTGCGAAATACAAAGACAACAAGTACTACCGCGCGAGAATCACCAATTTGAACTACTTGCATAACAGATACATCGAGGTTAATTTTGTCGATTATGGCCACCAGGATGTTGTCCCCGTCTCGAACATAAGGTCTTTGGAAGGGTTCGACACTGCATTTATTTCTATACAGCCGCAAGCTAGTAATTTTTTGCTAGCTGAAGCGGTGTGTCCTCGGGGGGAGTGGAACGAAGTGTACCTTGAGGAGATTTGCAAGGAAATTCGATACACTGAAGTTAACTTTAGCATTATTGGTCAAGTCACTAAACACTATCTTGTCAGGCTGTTTGTGGGGGTTAATGATTTGGCGATTATTTTGATTTCAAAGGGGCTTATGAGACACACGTCGCTCACTACTCAGGAAGCCGTGCTTCTGTCCATGATGCCGAGGGCTCCGCTCCAGCCGCCTGCGACGCCGCAGCAGAATATTGCCACCTACAAGGCTTTTACCCTTGAACCGGGAAGCCAGTATGAAGTTTATGTGTCTTATGTTACCGACGGACCTTGCAACTTTTCTGTTCAGTTGAAACAATCTGAAGAAGTCTTGGGGAAATTAATGAAGGAAATTAATTCGATGACACTGACACCCATTGAGGGGATTCCCATTCCTGGAACCGTCTGCTTGGCGAGATGTACGGAAGATGGACATATTTGCAGGGCTGTGGTTACCAATGAAGTTGATGGGCAGTTCAAGGTATGAATATTTATAAATTTATTTACTTAAATTCGCAAATAATTCTTGTTTAATCATTCAATTCTTCGTTCTAAAGAACTGCATACTCTTTTAAAACTGTTAATAAGGTTAAAATTAGGAGAACTTAGAGTTTCTAATTTCATTTTTAAACTTATTGAAAAAATTGACATTGGATACACTTTTATCTGTTCTTTTTTTGAAGTGAAGGTTTTTTCATATTGCCATGTTTTCAACTCAATTTTTTCCTTTATCTGAAAAATATAGAGAGAGATAGTAGTCAAAGTAAAATGAGAAATTTATGTTTTTCTTCCTCTTGTGTTGTCGGTCTAGTGTAATTCTACGATGTGTCAAGGTCATTACATCAACCATTCTGTTTTTTTAATAATTCTTTGTGTTGATTCTGTATTAAAAGCAATATTTTCGAATCGGTATTTATGGTAGAATACAAACCTTGACCCTGAATTTTTATAATTATGATCCTACAACCAGTTGGTAAAAGTCGCCAACGACAGCAAAAGAAATGTACTTTCTCAACTACCATAAAGTGCTCGCGTAACCTACTTTAATAATAATCATAATTACTTGCGTTTTTTATCTGGTTGGAAAAATAATAATTTATAACTAACTTACCATGCTTATAACTATAAATAGTAGATTACATACTAAGGTGGGAGGTTAATGCGAGTTATTTTGATTTTTTTAGACTTGTGTATTATAAAATTTCTTCACAATTATTAAAATCACTCTATACAGGTGCGCCAGAACTCGCGCCCCAGAGAAAAATTTGAATTAAGAGAAGATACCGGGAACATGAAAAAAATGTTTAAAAAATTCTATCTGTCAAAATATTTTGACATTTATTTTTTTGGCATTTGACATTTTGAAAAGTTCGAGAAATGGTGATGTGTATTGTAATAAAATATAAAGTTTTGGTAAAAAATATTTTTTTCAACGATGTATTTTCACTCACAATCTATGATTTCCATATGTATAAAAGGGTTATTTTAGAGAAAGAAACAATGTACTGTTTCTAAACCGGTTTTCTGTTCTAAAAATGAATAATTTTTTAACTTGAAGTTAACTTAAAGTCAACATCCGGTGCATTTTTTTACACCTTATCCAATTGCACCGGGTATGTTTAGAAAGAAGAATGCTGTCAACTTTTAAGTACATAAAGTTTCAAGTATAAAACTAGTATACAGGGTGTGTCAGAACTCACGCCCAAGAGAAAAATTTCAAGTAAGATAAGAAACCAGGAAGATGGAAAAAATGTTTAAAAAATTTTATCTGTCAAAAAATTTTGACATTTATCTTGTAAATGTTTTTTTATAATTATTTAGTGAAGATACAAAATAACATTAAACAGAATTACAATTTAGGATACAGCTTCCTTTTTTCCTTTTCTAATAGCCTGTAGCAAAAAAAAAAAAGAAAAAGAATTTTCCAACAGAAATAAATATAGTCAACGTGTAAAATTTAAACTCTCATAACTTTTTAGAATTTTTGTAATATTTTTTCCATGTTCCTAGTATCTTACCTTACATAGCATTTTTCTCTGGGGCACGAGTCCTAGCGCATGGCATAGTGTTTTTGATGGATTCAACACTGCAATAAACAAATAATATCGATAATTAGATGCATCAGCTTTTTCTAAGATCTGAAGCTATTATAATTGAAGACTGATAACTGATAAGAAAGATTAAATATGCAAAATTGCATATTCAATCAACATTTATCTATCTATAATCAAAATATTAATTGTAAATTCGGAAACAAAATAAACAAGACTGACGTTTCACTCTTGCCATTGGGCACTTTTTCATTAATTTTGAAAAGAAAACAGTTAAATTATCGTCAAATTTTGTTATTTTAATAACTAAACTCTTAATTTTAAATTAGATCGACAGAAAAAGAGAAAATACATTCAAATATGCGAAAAGTTTTTTCAAATTTTCGAAGACCCTTTATATTGGTTCAATTGTACAATTATTACATAATAATTTCTTGGTGTTTTTTTTTATTGGATTACTAGAAAAAATATAATAAATCAAATCGTGACTCCATTAATGCGAAAATTTGTATTCCAGGTATTCTACGTAGACTTCGGCAATTTCGAAGTCATCTCTTTAGAATCCCTCTACGAAATCCCGTTCAAATTCGTAATTCCCAAAGTCATGGCTATCCGTTTCGCACTCGCGGGCGTTGAAAAATCCACCGTTACCCTCGAAATGCAATGCGCCTTCAAACAATTCGTCGACAATCGTCTTATCCACATGAAAGTCATGCCAATGACGACGAGAACATCACTTCCTCGTTGCGAACTCTGGGATCCCGAATCGGGAATCAACGCTTTGGACATCGTGACAAAAGCCGCCTCGTCGAGCTATCCAGACCACATTTCACTCCATCGCGGTTTTACACAAACCGTCAAAATCAGTTTTGTCTTTAGCTGTAATCGTTTTTACGTCCAGTTGAAAGCGAAACAGGACGATTTGTTGAGACTCATGTTAGATATTCAAGTTTTGTGTCGCGAAGCTGACTCTTTCAAAAGTAACATGGTTAAAGTTGGTTTGCCTTGCTACGCATTATATGAAGGAGATCAGCAGTGGTATAGAAGTCAAATTGTTGAAGTGTTAGGCGCTGGACAGGTTAAAGTGCATTATGTAGACTACGGGAATGAGGAAGTCGTGTCGGTGAATTTACTCAAACCAATTGAAGGGAAACAATTAACGATTTTGAGGCCTCAAGCTATTGAATGTTGTCTCAACGGTTATCAGAATATGGAACCGGATCTGGAACGTGACAATCTACTAGAAGAACTTATTTTGGAGCAAGAATTTACGATGAAAGTTGTGGAAATGCAAGGGAAGAAAGCATTGGTCGAACTAATCGATTCGGCGAATTATAATGTGGCGTCTTTGTTGTTGGATAAAATCGCAGTTACTAGGTCTCAAGTCAGTCCGATGTTGGTACAAGCTGGTAATAAAATCGAACATAGAAAATATTCACAACCTTTCAACTCGAGAGAGCAGCCAGAAAGGACAGATCAACGTAAACCAGGGTAGGTTTTTTTAATTTTTTGTTATTGTGATTAAATTGTTATTAATATAGCGGGCAAAGACACTGGGGTGATTCCCTAAATGGCAATCCTGCATGGAGGCAGGATGCTAGAGGACCTCGGTAAGCAATCGTCTTGCCTTAGATCCTTTGTCTTTTGTTTCTTTGTCTGTGGTGTCTGTCTGCACATTTTTTGCACAGTTTTTATGTCATTTAATTTTTGTTTAAATATACCGAAAGTAATGTGATTAGTTAATTAAAAAAAAAAGATTTAGTAATACAAATGCCCCAAAACCATGCACAGAGCACTTACCATTTGATTCAAGTATGACTTACAACACAATTAATATTTTTTTTATTTAGAAGCCGAGACAGCTTCGAATCGACCGAAACCAACGAAAATAATACTTGGAGACAGAACAACAAGGGTTTCAAGTATGTTTCAATTGTTTTTTTTTGTTTTTTTAGTTTTTGCTAAATCGTTTTATTTTTTTTTTTTTCAGTAAAAATTACGATCGAAATAAACGAGACGAATTAAACGATTCGACCGATAGCGAAAGACACAGTACTAAAAGTTTTAATCGAAACGATAGAAATAGAAACGAATCAAACACTAGAAACACTGAGGGTGGTCCTTGGAAACAAAACAGTGGTTTCAAGTTGGTATTTTTTATGGTTTTGCAAGTGTTTTAATTTTTTTTTTTTTCTTAGTAAAAGCCAGGACAGATTTAGTAGGGATCGGAATAATAGGAATAATGACTGGGGTGGCAATGGAGATGAGCGTAAAAATTTCAGAGAGAAAGACAGTTGGGGTGGTGGTAGAACCAACGACCAGCAAAATAATTTCAAAGAGAAAGGCGATTGGGGTAGTGGTAATGACCAACAGAATATCAATTCACCAGATGATGGTTGGGGTAGCAGCAAGGAAAATAATAGACAGACTTTTAATCCAAGAGGAAGGAAAGGCGATTGGGATAATAATCGCGAAAATGATAAGCGTAATTTTAACTCGCGAGAAAACAATGATTGGGGTGATAATAAACAGGATAAGGAATGGGGCGGTAGGGGAGACCGTAAAGGTTTTCAGCCGAGAGATAGAGACAATTTTAAGCCGAGAAAAAGGTAATAGATATATTTAAATAATTTGACACGATTTTAACAAAATTTTGTAGATTTGACGACGGCAACAGTGATTGGAATAATGGAGATAAAGATGGTTTCAAGCCCAGGAAAAGGTTTGGTAATTATCTAATAATTCGACGCGTTTTTAATGAATTTTTTCATAGATTTGAAGACGGTGGTGGTGACTGGAATGCAGATTCGACACATAAGTCTGGCGGTTTTAAAAAGAGGGAATTCAAGCGAGAGACAAGCGAACTTAGTTCGAGCGGTTCTGAGAAAAGTTTCCGAAAAGGGGCCTTCAAAGACAATTTCCGGAAAAATAAACCAGATTTTAAAAAGCCAGACAGGTCACCGAGAGGTAATTTTGTGGACGATTCTGGTGATACATGGAATGTGAGTGCTAGTACCACTATTGAGGTTCCAAACGCCGCCCCAAGCACAGCCAAGTTTACAACTTTAAATGTCGACAACACCGAAGCCACTGTTGTGATTAGTTGGTTTCATAATCCGTCACAATTTTATTGCCAGATCGAAAGTACTCAAGTAAGTTTATATTTTAAATTTTCTATAAATCATTAATTGTTAATTTTGTTAGGACGAATTCAAGCGAATGATGGAAGAAATCCAACAAGCGTACAAAGGCCGTCAACCAGGTACTGCAGCTGTTGGTGCCCCCGTTATCGGTTTATTCCCCGAAGATCGTGTCCTCTATCGTGCAGAAGTCTTGGAGACTTTGGCCTCACAATATAAAGTCTATTACGTCGATTTTGGTAATGTTTCTGTGATAGATAAAGTGTGGCCCATCGAAACGCGATTTATGGAACTACCCGCTCAAGCGATTTGTTGTAAATTGAGTGGAATTGAACCACCGACCGACACCTGGCCTGAAGCGAATAATTACGGTCAATATTTTGACAAGAAGCAGTTCTTTTGTAAATTTATTTCAACGGAAGATACCAGGTATTGCAATTTTGTTGTAATTTTGTTTTTTTTTCCCATAATGATTTTTAAAGAGTTGCTATCCAGTTGGAATCTAATAAGGAAGATATTGCGAGCTTGTTGTTGAGAGATGGTTTAGCGAAAGCCTGTGCCCCACCCCCAGAACCCGAATTACCTTTGCTGATTGGACAGCAATTCAGAGCGTTGTTGCTCAGCGTTAACAGTTTGGGTGATTTCTTGATGTCGTTGCAGAACGGTGCTTTGTTGAAATGTACTGTTTTTAATCTAAGTCAGTCAACAGAAACGTGGGAGGATAATCTCAAGGACAAAATCAACCAGATTTTGATTGTTTACGTTGACGACTTGAAGGAAGATAGGTGTGTAAATTACGTAAATATGTTTCTTTTAATTCGACTTTTATTATTGATAACTACCTACTGTGGTATAAAAGTTATTATCTGTACATTAACAGAATTGTTTTTCAACTTCGTAAGAAAAAGAAATTACTTTGTAACGGAAAAAATATTATTTTGTAATATTCTTTGTGTACTTGCAGACTCGAGGTGACTTTATACGACCAAAATGGTGCGAAAATAAAGCTCATTGACAAAGACGAAGGCGCTTACGAGTCGGTAGAACTCCTCTGTCCTTACCTAATTCTCCATTCACAAATCTCCGGTGAAATAGCCCACATTGAAGAAACCACAGTTTACCTCCAACCGGCCGACTGTGCCGAAAACATTCAATATTTCCTAAATACAGCATTCGAATATTATGAAAGTTTCACCCTTGAAGAGCCCATAACACCTACGGAGAGTTTTGTTTATGCCGTGAAAAGCTCAGATACTAATTGGTATAGAGGCCGAGTAGTAAGCCTTGACGATAAACAAGTCATGGTGAATTACCTAGATTACGGCAACTCTGAACAAGTTAATTTCGATGTTTTGCGAGAGCTTACCGCTGAATTTATGGAGATACCGATTTTGTGCATTCCTATTACTATTAAAGACACTAGGGAAGAATTAATCGGGAAATTTGTTTCCATTAATTTGACATTTACGGAAACCGGTGTAGAGGGAGCTATCCAGGAAGAAGTAGTGACTACAGTGCCGACTCAAGAGACACCAAAACCGAATCTCGAAGAAGTGACTCAAACTGAAGAGACACAAAAACCGAATCTTGAAGAGCTGATTCAAACCGAACAAATTCCTACTGAATCTGTTACTTGTGGTACTCAAGTCGTACTAAGTCATACCGATAGTCCAAGTGATTTTTATTTGCAACTAGCCGAGTCGATTGGAGTAATTGAAGAGTTACAAGCGAGAATTCAGGAACAGATTCCTGAAATGGCCGATATTGAAAATCCTGTTATTGGGGCACTTTGTGCTGCACCTTACACAGTGGACCAACAGTGGTATCGAGCACAGGTTTTAGACGCCGACAGTGACATAACCACAGTACGTTTTGTCGATTATGGCAACACTGATGTACTGGATAACCACACGACCCGAGTGAAAACCCTTCCAACTGATTTACTCTCTTTAGAAGTCCACGCCACGAGGTGTCGTCTCAAAATCAAACCTATCGACGAAGAATGGACGACTGTGGCGTCAGAACGTTTTGAACAATTGGCAAGCGTTGAGAATCTCACAGCACAATTTATCAGTCAAGATGAAAAAACCAACTATGTGGAGTTGTACTCAGACGGAGCCAACGTTCGTGAAATTTTAATTTCCGAGAATTTGGCTTTTCCAGATGAAGTCGTACCGGAAGCCAGCAGCACTCTCGGCTTTGTTAGTCACTTAAATTCGCCATCTGAATTCTGGATCCAGTTTGAAAACTGTGTCGAAGGTCTCGAATGGGTCGCCGAACAACTATCCGGGGCGGAAACTTTTCAGGAACTCGAAGACTTGTCTCCGGGCGTGTTATGCGCTGCATTGTTTCCTGACGATCAAATGTGGTACCGTGCCCGGATTTTGTCAAACACTGTGGCCGGAATCGAAGTACTGTTTGTAGATTATGGTAATTCTTGTACCAGCTGTAGTCTGAGAGATCTTCCCGAGGATTTGGTAATGTTGCCACCGCTTGCGCAGAAGTGTAGTTTACAAAAACCAGAAAGTTTGACGACTTGGGGACCGGAAATGGTCCGTAAATTTATCGAGATTTCGGCGGATGGTCAGACGACCTTCCATGTGAATAAATTGAGTACTGGGGAGACGGCGTCAGTTGTTTTGTTACTTGATGGTGTTGATGTGACGACTCTGATTGTACCCCAGACTGAAGAAGTGCAAGTTAAAAGTTTTGAAGGGTTGGATGAGATTGTGTTGGTTAAGGGAGGCGAAGAGCTGCAAACGAAGTTTAAATTGGAGCCGCTTCCGGATATAGCCTGGAGTGAGGAGTCGATAAAGAAGTTTGCGGAGATGACTAATGACGGTAGGTGGACAGAAAACTGTTATTTTTTTTTATTATTGCTTCATTTCTGTTGGGTAGAAAACACAGTCTTCCAGGCTGAGTTCGTTTCGGATGATACAGTTAGGTTGTATCTTGGTTTGAATGATATTCGACTTGAATTAAACGGTATTAAATCCACAACCCCGGCATCTAGTCCTCTGAAAACCCGAATAAACGACACACATTCCACCGATGAAACTAGTACAAGCGGTACTGAACCGAATCTTGACGGTAATGAGGGGTTTGTAAAAGGTTTGGTTGAGGGAATCATAGAGGGGAGCACTAATCCTCATGAGTGTGTTGAAGAGAATGTTTGCGATGAGGAGTGTAAAAATATTATCAGGTCACTACTAACTGACATTATCGAGGCGAGTACTAATCAGAGCGAAAGTAATAATCAAATCGAGAACAAACAAAGTACTAACCATGACATTGATTTGAGTGTTAAGTCAACAGGTATTTAAGTTAGTTTTCAATCACACTAAATTTGAAATTATTGTTTTATTAGAAAACCCAGTTCAGAGTGAAGAAAAAGTTCCTGATGAGAAAAAACATTTCGGTCTGGATGTGAGTACTGAAGACTCGGCTGAACAAGTTCCAACTCTTGGCGAGAAAAAGGAAGCTGAAACTGTGACTCTAGAAGAAGCATCAACTGTTAGTGTGAAAAAGGAAGCTGAAACTGCGACTTCAGAGCAAATTCCAGCTGTTTGTGAGAAAAAGGAACCTGAAACCGTGACCACAGAAGAAGCTTCAACTGTTAGTGAGAAAAAGGAAGCTGGAACCGCGACTCCAGAAGAAGCTTCAACTGTTAGTGAAAAAAAGGCAGTAGAATTAAGTCCAGAAAAACCCACTGAAGACAAAACAGGAGCAGTTAAAGAAACTTTAGATGTTCCAAAACCTGATAATTCCAATAACCTAGACAAATCTGAAATGTTGGATGAGGTAAAAGAAAATAACCAGTAACTTGTTTATTTTCCACACCCCACCACCAGTGATAAAATCTGAAAATGTAAATATACATACTATTAATATTAGAATTAGTTTTTAGTATTTTTATATTCATTCATTTTTAATACTGATATTTCGTTCTCTTTTGTTGTTTAGGACGTAAAGTCGAAAATTGTTATTGTTTGTTACCCTTTTTTTAATATTAAAAATATATTAAACCATTAAATATTAACTTGTACCATATATTTTGATTTGTTGATTCAGAAGTTAGTTTGTTTCTTTAATTGTATTCAGTTCTTCAATAAAACTATCGTTTCAATCTTGTGTTTATTTCATGGTCGTGATCAGGAAAAATTAAATAAAGTTAGACGTCTACAGTTTATTTCACAAAAATTGGTCCATAAAAATGAGTAACTATATAAACAATATTAAAGCCAGTGGAATTTGATCTTGATTGATCCTACCTACCCTTAATGACTAATATTTCAAGTAACCAAAAGATAGATATTGTGTTTCAAAAAGTTTGTAATTTGAGACGACTGGAAAGACAACAAATTAAAAGAATGCGTCATTTGGTGTTAATTAAAAATTTTTGAAACACAATTTACATAGCAAGCATTTGAAATGGCATCATGGCAACAAAATTTACAGCAAAGAGTAAACAATGGCAAGTGATGCACTTGGAGGAATCACAAACATTTCAAATTCCTAAATCTAACTACTAACAATACGGATTTTTTGGTACCAAAAAGGTCTTTAAAAATATATTCTCATAACGCAACCATTTCATAATTGACGTTAATTCCGATATTCTTAACCCTAATAATGATTTGTCTTTCTATACAACTCAATCACATTTTACATCACATTTTTTTTATTTTAAAGAGAATAAAAAATAAAGCACACTAGAGATACAGTACCCTTTTAATAATAGGAATGAGGAAATGCCAACAGGATGCTCTTACAACTACTAAATTCAATTCTATAATTGATGACCTCAGAGAAAGATGTAAAAAACTGTTGTTTTCTAAACATTTTTGTATATTTTTAGGAGTGATATGTTTAAGTTGCAACGGCAATTTTTCGATGGAAAATAATGTGTAAGGCACATTCTGTTGACAATTTGAAAATAATGTCCTTGGCCTGACAATGGAAATTTTTAAGTTACCAAATTGGTTTTTAACTTGGTATTTAGGTTCGAATTTATAATTCATTGCGTAATTAAATATGCGGTTTAGGAATGTGCAGTTATTTGAATCACGTTTTTTAAATTTTTATCCTACTTTTAATCAGCAATTAGTCAATTCCAAGGACAGTTCCAGATTTCCAAAGATGATTTGAGCACAATGTTTAAAAAATTATTTTGGGCTACTCACTACAAAAGGAATGGAATAAATTAGCAAGACTTTGGTTGCGATCTGGCAGGAGACCCTGGAGCAGTGCTAAAAACCCAATGTCTCAAATTTTGTCCAAGTAATAAAAAAGTAACTCACTGTTGCGTTGAACATTTTGCCTCTCCATACTGTTCCAAAAATTTGTCAATATCAATTTGCGATAACAGCTGAAATAAAATTATCGTAAATCAATCAGGCAAGTTGCTAAATGTTTCAGTACCTTGGAGGGTTGGAGAAACCTGCTTGGTATTCGTGAAACCATGTTCGTGTTTTTTGGAGGCCCAAACCCCAAGCCTAATAAAACCGCCTCAGGGTCTGGTTTTCGAAGCTCCAAAACTGACTCCACACTAGAACAATGACTACTGGCATCATCAGATTGCAGGGAAATTTCTCTTGGAAGGAATCTTCGAGTATTTCTTAACGGCGACGTATAAATATTTGTGTTGCTATGAGGTGGTGGCAGTGATTCGACCCATTGCTGCACGGTTATCGGAGATTTGCTCATTTTTTGAAGATCAAGGTCTCGAAAAAGTGGACGAAACGGTAGGCAAAGAATCAACAAGTAGTTAACAGCATTAACAACAATGAATTTCGAATCCAATCGGTGAGTGGGTAATATCGCACAAAAACTTTAATCTGATAATAAACGTAACAATCCCAATTACTATCTTCTAGATAAAACCCATTCATTAAATCGGGCTAGATCACTCCACTTGTTGACATTTTAATGACACTGACGTGGGGATTTAACCGAGATTTGGTTGGCAACGCGTGAAAAAACATTTAAAAATGACGTCACGTTGGTGAAAGCGGTGCCGACGAGAGAAAGACTTCGTTTTATTTTCTTTATGATAAGAGATTTTATAATATTACATCCCGCGAAAGTGTGTGCAGTTCAAGTACGTATGGTTCGTGTTATCATTTAGGCGCGCATCGATTCAAATTTAAAATTTTCACTTTGACATCACTTGTCAAATCTGACAGATGTTTACAGTTCGACAATCACTCTTTGGCTATTTTTTGTAACACAGTTTTCGACGACTTGTGATGTGTTTGTGTTAAAATGTTCAAAAAATGTGGTTACACCTAAAGGACGCCACAGGATGGACCAGCTCTTATCAACCAAAATGACGAGGAAAAAATGAACGATGCTGAAAGCTTGGTCAGTGTTTTTTTATCTATTTTGTCAATTATGTGTGCCCCAAAAACCTATTTTTCGAATTTAAAGGTTTTTGCAGGTTTTGGGCGTGGGGTTACACAATGCTATTTTTTCACGAGAAGGGTTCATGTGCTATAACTGACTTCCGTTATTCCATGGGAATAGAATGAACGTGGTAAAAATGCTAATTATTCAATAGATATTTTCAACTTTTATTTAGACAGTCGTGAAACTTTGTTACTAAAGGTGCAATTTAAAAAGCTTGTACCACCACAAGAATTTTTTGTCAACATTGTCTGCATTGCGATGCAAAATACCACTTTCCACTGCAATAACTTTCTCACCTTCGTTTATGCCAATAAAATAAGTACATACTTGTTAATCAATAACACATGTTATTACTGCGTTCCAATTTTTTTCAATGAAAGTTAATGAGTGTTTCTAGGTCTATTTTTAGAACATCATAATTGTAGAAATATTCGAGAGGATCTTCTTGTCATCATTAAAACAACCATCTCGTATGAGAAATGAGTTTCTCTTGGATTAAATTTTTACGAGGTAATTTGCGAATTAATAATGTAATTATCATCCTGGAAAATGTCTGACGTTACAATAAGTAAAAAGAAATTATTAATTGTAAGTCATTTAATGAGTGAACTTGTAAGATATCACACGTTACCAATAGATGTGAGAATGGAAATAAAAAGTGTTTTTCTTCTTAATAAATCATGAATTAACTGAATAAGTTTACTGCAGCTTCATAATAATATAAAATTTCATTTTATATGTATGCATTTATTTCCCAAATCCTAATATTCTGATCAGTATTTGATTCAATAAACCAGAGAATTAACTAATAGAGTGATAATCAAATGTACAAACATCATTTTTCCTATTTGTGCTAGTCTTTGGTGGACAGAACAGCTATCAAAATTGCGTTTCAAAGAATTGTGAGTAAAATTTATTTGTACATCATTTTTATTAAACCGTGAGATTGACATTATTTTTCCAACATTTGAGTGGTTGATTTAGTTTTCTTGAAAATCTGAAGCTTCCTTATGTGTCTTGGAAGAGTCGTAAATGTCAAAAATTACATTTTTCAGAGACAGGAAGTCTGACACACTTTAATTTGAATATAATTATTTGTATTAAAAATGAAATGGATGTAAAAATAACTGGTAACAATATCTTCGGTCTATTTCTGTATTTTATTGGCAAATGTGATACAATTGATCCAGATTGTATTGAGTTTCAGAAACGATTGTTTTTAGTTTCAAAAAATTGTAAGATTTAGTTTTAAATAAATACAAAATATGAATAGAGATAAAATACTGTTGAGCTGATCCAACGAGCCGAACCAGTAAACTGATGACTCTCAAACCATAAATGTAATAGACCAATTGCCTATTTCCGCTGTGTTGTTTTATTCTATCAATCTTTGATTTCCTGTTTTCTCATAAAATAGACAGGATATTTATGTATCATCTGTGCATTCAATTTGATTTCTGTTTTCTCGAAAATATTTGATTTGTGATTTTGCTGTGGGCGAAAATATTAAATTTGTACACCTGCCAGGTTTGGTTTTTTGATAACTCAATTTCTCGAACGCCGTCTCATCGGTTTTCCTTTCAAACAGTAAAAGGGAAATTCATGTAATAGTAAAAAGGGAAATTGTGCACTCGTAAAGGAGAGCGTTTTATAGTTGGTTTTTATAACCGCGTGGGGTTGCGGGACTTTTTTCAATTTTCGGGAGAAAGGTCGAAGAAAGTACCGGAAAATCTTTGACCTCAAAGGTGAATATGTACATATATTTGTTTAACTTTTTTTTCCGTAAGTCTGCTTTTATAACTAATTTTCGCAGCAAGTTTGTTAGTCCCTTACCTACTGTCGTTTTAGTATAGCTCAAAAAGGGGTTGCAGAATACAAGATTGATTAACTTTTTCAGGACTGTGTTAGGACTAGTTAGAACTTTTAGAAGGTATACATATTAAAAGCAGTGCTAAAAGTCTCCAGTCCTCCGAAATGAGCGGGGCGAAGGGGCTACTAAAAAGGTGCCGTTTTTATGTTTTCTCGCTTGTATCTCGAAAACGGTGCATGTTTCTTGAAATCAAAAATTTTACTTCCGACTATACATACATTCTATAATTTGTTCGTTTACAAGATTAGTTTTTCGTTGAAACTTGCAATTTAATTTCATTTTAAATTCACGTTTTGTGTAGCTATTAGAATTTTTTGTCTCAACACATGACATTTCACGTGTTTCCAGTAATTTTTGCCAGGATTATGGAATTGCATTACCTTATTAATGAAAATGTCTTTCACTTATTTCTTCTGACGGGAACAAGATTTATTATTACGAAACTTCGAGTTTCAGACGAGACAACTTTGTAGCATTCTGTTCAATGTCTGTTAATAATTCTATAATTGGCTCGGTAATTGGTCTCGTAATCTCGTTATTATAAATTGTATTATGAAATAGGTTCAATGATTTTTTTACCAAAGTTTTTACTATTTAAATGCAAATCCCACGAGTAAGGAGCCTGAAAATTTTTTTGAATCAACCAACATAACATTTCAAAGATAACGTGGATATTAAAAAATTTAGTTTTAATAAATTAAACATAAAGTCTGTTTTTTTTTAAATGGAAATGCCAGACAGCCTTAACGTTGGCACCACTAGTAAATTCATTCATGGTAATTATAATAAAGGAATTTGGCAGTTCCGGTTTTTTGAATTAATTAGAAAACAATGTCATTAAACGTGAACACAAAAAATCGTCTAAGAAAATTTAGAGACGTAACACCAAAAAAGGAACAAATTCGGTACCGCTTACAGTTTTGAGAAATTTGGAAACGAATAGTTCGCAAGCTGGAAGTTAGAAAAAGGGCCCGTTAAAATTTAGACGCAATTTTTAATGCGGGTTTGCTAAACAGTTTTCAGTTTTTAGCAAGAAATTGACAAGAATACAAAATAAACATGAATGAGAACCTCGGACAGAACAGTGTCTTGTGCATCGTTTTTGAGAAACGAGTTGAAAAAGTAACAATTATGAAACTAAAGCTGAAGAAGAATTTATAAAATGCATCAACTTTGAACTCATTTCAATAAATTACACAAAATTTATTGCCGAACATCATAATACCCACTTGTATCTTTTGCTAAATAACTTTTTTCTATATAAACATCTTTTTTCTTCAAAGTTTTTGTAGCAAGTACCTAATTTTTGTCCACAACATTGTACTTACTTGCGGTGTGTTTCTAACAAAATTATTAGCACTGAATTCTGTCTTTAGACCTTAGGTAATGATGTCTGACCTCAGGTATTCAATTATAGCGCTTTCAAAGAGCAAACAGGCACACAAGATTCATAAAAGTCAAAATTTTGACATCTCAATTTGAAAACCTAACCATAATTTTTTAACAAAATTTCTAGGGACAAAAACAAAGATCAAACAAAATTTATGGCTATGGAGACAAGCTGCTACCAATTTTTTCACCAAAATTTTGACTTGGTAATTTCCATTTAACAGACTTTAGTGACCAAACAAACTTCAACTTTAATTTATAAAAAGTCCAACCTTGGAGAATTTGATGAGAACTACTAAAATGTTGACCAAAAAAAAGACCAACAAGATTCTCATTTAGAATGTTTAAAAATCGCTTCGCAGACTGCACGTTTCTATCCAGCGCGATATCCAAATAGATGGGCTCCGTAAACCTGGAGTAGTCATTTTAACTGACATAAACTTGTCAAAAATAAAAATATGATTACTATGTTTAACTAATTAAAACGAAATATTTTAATATCTACGTTATTTTTTGAAATGAAAAATTCAGGCCCATTATTACTGTATTATTAAAGTGGAGCGAAAATTTTCTTGGTTTTTGTTTTAAAGTGAAGTAGTAAAACAAAGCATTTTCTCAAAATTATTAAGTATACCGAGTGACTCAATGATTATGAGTTTTGCCGACACGTTGGTAATAAATCGTAATTTGACAACATTTACCATCAACTTCAAATGTCACAATTTTCTAGTCTAGTCGTTTTTGAGGGGTAGCCGATTTATAATTAATTAATTATGTTGACAAAAGTATGTATTTATATTTGTGCCAAAACACTAAGAAAATTAATCATCAATGAATAATAATTACATACATATAGTTTTCTGAAAATAAAAAAAAGAATTGTTTTATTAAGTTATCTTATCTAGGTTACTAAGTAATAAATTTTTTAACCAGTAACATCGCATGATTTTGTATTTATCGAATAAAAAATAAATTATTGAATTTATAAAACGTTTTTTTGAAGTAAGAATTTTGATGATAAAATAATCTGCTTTAGTTCTCTACTTTCGTATATGTTTTACAATAGTATCAATCTCAACTTATTTAAAATTATTAGAAGCCAGTAATATAAATTAATTTCTCTAAAATTAAATTAAACCTGAGTTATGTTTTCGTTGAACAATAATATTTGTTTCTATTAAAACGAGGGTTGTGACTTGTGAGACGCCGTTTGTAGTATTTACGTCATAGTTGAAGCCATTTTTGGTCGGTAAAATTGGCAAATTACAATTACCTCTTATGACGTCACAATCGAACATCCCACGACTAGATCCGTGTTGATGTTCCCTTTTCAAATGCTTTGATTTTAAACCCACGATGAGAATTGCTTTGTAAAAACATTAGTTCATGAATATTGTGGACCAATTTTTATCTTTTACACGTGTCGGAGCGGTCTAGACAGTATTAACAATGACGCAAAAAATGAACAAAATCCAGTTATATTTATGTCGAGAAAGGGTCGTTGCATCAATGTATCATATGTTTCTGTGATAGGAAATGCGTGGTACAAGATATCATAATCGGACATTTTTCAGAAAGATCATTTCCTGGCGTCAGTTTTTGTTTTGATATCAAATATTAATTTTTAGAAGCGGCTAAATGTCAATAAACATTTTGATCAGTTTTCGTGATTAAAAATAGCTTTTGTTATTGTCGGCAGGATTCGTCGAACATCGAAATTATTAATGGTAGAATTACGACGATTAGAGTAATTTCGTAGTAAACGTCTTGTTTATCGAATGATTAGTTATGTATTGGCAAAATGGATCGTAAAGCGTTTTATAAATAAGCACCAGTTTCCTGTCACAAGTTCGGTTGTTTTATATTAGAATATACCATCTTCTCCCATAAAACTACAATAAAACGCAGAATGCAAGGCCCACGATAAAAGAAGCATCATTTAAACTCGGATGAAACGTTACCCTTATGTTTAGTTTATTTTCCTTGCAATATACAAGTTTATTATTGCTTATATGTGTTACATTTTATATGTTTATTTTGCGTGTTTTTCTAACAGTCAATGATGGAGTCTCTTGTAGGAGTTAATGTAATTTTGCATTTAATTTCAATGATGCATTTTCGGTGGCTTTGTCTTGCACAAAAGCCTCTTTTATTTATTAAAGTGTACCGTCATTTTCCATTAAATTATACTTTCCATCATAGCTTTTAAGATGAAAGCAGTTCAAGCAAACTACGCTCTTTGCTCCACTAAAGGGCATATTTACTTTTTGTTGGGATCATGTCGAACACACGCCGCGAAAATAGAACGGATTTGCAGGAAATTGGACTTTGTGGTACTTTTTACATTTAATTTAGTCGTGATTGATGGAAACGTGTGTCTGGCAGGGGGAAATCGATAACGTTTTTGAAATATCCGGTCTTTTAATACATAGGAACGATTTTTTATGGTAATAATAATGTAGTATTTCTATGGAAGGTGGGATAAATATTTACACCACCTGTCGATATTTTTCTTTATTTACGATGTCACGTTTTGGTATTGATCCTTCTTTCGGCTATTCCTTATGGAATCTGACGTTACCTTTAGTAAGTAATCCATAAAGCTGAATAGCAGAAGAAAATGGGATTTTACGGCTTCGCCAGATGGAAACAGATGCATTTAAAATTGGAATGAACACGACTTGAATGGAATGAACTCATAAAGTGTGTAAAACGTTCACTTTCTTGATTATGTATGAAAATAACTTGTGCTAGAAAACGTATGAAATAAATTCTATTCCTGCTCAGGTGCTCCAGTCTTTTTCTTCTAATGATAGGACAGTTTGTTTGATGACTTTTGGTGTTGTTGAGGTATGTTGTAATTAATTTTCTTTTTGAGGAATTTGGACATGACGTTCGTTCGAGCCATCAACTTGACTGAAAGTTCTTTATTGTTTAGCGAGTTTTGCTAAAAGTGTGGTTTACTCCTTGTTCTTTTAGACAGTTTGATTGGCTGGGCTTTTATAGTTTCGAAGTGATAATGAAAAAACAACACCGAAAGCCACAACTTAATTATAAAGAAACATGAAAATGCTTCATAAAAAATGATTTTTTGTTAATTAACATTTAACAGTGTGTAAACTACCTGTCCGTATCAGATTGTAATAAATTTTAGATTTATGATGAAAAAAATATGTGATCTCTGCAAATTCAATTAATGACTTTAATTGGTCATTCTAAATATTTATTATTATAAATATGTGTTTCAAAAAATTCCATTTGTAAAAAAAATACAAAAGTTTCAACATTCACTCTGCAAATTCTCTGCATTTTTTTTCAGTACATATGATGTTTTTAGCAGGTTTTGCAATGAAATTTTTAAAATGCTTTTTTTAATTAAAGCAAATGTGGATTATCTCAGATAATTTTTCAAGACGTTTACTAGAAATTTGCATATTGTTATTTCAACTGATTCTAACTGGAATCGTTCGATTTCTTCATGGTCAACGGGAACATGTATTACCTATATTATGGGTTTATCGTTTTGCCAATTTATTTGACAGTAAACGTGAAACAATATTTTTAAATGAAAAAGTTCAGTGTTTAAAGAAATAATTACAAGTAATTACGTCACTTGCTATTCTACGCATAATAAATAACGTATAATTTGTTTATCGTGATACATAAAGCTATGACGATTGTTGTTTTATTTGTTTGGGAACATTGAAAGCTATTGTTTTTCGTTTTTATACAGTTTATTACAAATTATCTTTTAAATTACCGATTAAATCGACGTAGATTTATAACATTTATATTACCAATTCTAGATTTCAGAAATGTTTGCGATAGAAACCCGTTGAAATAAAATAAGGAGAACATCATCTCTGTAAGTCTTTTCGAAAAAATGATTTATTTGTAATAGAATGGGGAAACTCTCGAGCCGGGTATAAAGGTTAATAGTGCCATTTGTTCTTCTCCAAAGGTTGTGTATGGAGGGTGTGAACTGAGGTGTGAACGTTTATTTGAATAAAACAAATTTCTTTGTCATGTTTAATGCATACTTTGAGTGTCTAACCCTTACAGCATCAGTAATGCCTAATCTACAAATTTTTGATCAAATATTTATTTTTATTTCTAGGCCAATGTCTTTCGGAGAAAACTTAAAATCCGAAAACAACACTTTTCACCTAGCAGTGGCTTACAACAGAATGTAATTTAATTGTGTTTAAATTAGTTTTGAAGGAATGTGTACAGTATGCTCCAAAACTGATGCCCTCACGACTAGTGATGATGATTCCCAAAAAACTGGCAGTTCTGTATCTCTTTTCCAAATGTACTTGACTAGTGTTAGAACGCTTCCTTGACCTTCCTCATACATGTTATTGTTGTTTTAGATGCTATGTTAAGTGTTGCGAGTTGCGACTGTTGCCAATCTAAATAATATGTTGTGCGTCTAGAGACTCTCCTTGGTTTTAACAGTGTTTCCTTTTCTGTTCCCCTCTTTTACAAGACACAAATCATCGAAAAATTGCATCAATCCAGCAGGTGTTGTATTTATAGTAAGTTTGAAAGCGTTTTCGGCGTGCGCTTGCGTTAAAAATGTCAATTAAACGACACGCTACGCTCGCAGAGCTCGCAGGAAGCAATGATATTCATTATACTGTCGGGGGACGTAGTGGATCAAAGCGCGTCGGTGCGGTCGTCCTTTTATCCATGCAAGAAGCACTCTTCACATTGCCGCAGATTTCTCGCATTATCGATTCGAGGATTTAATCCAATTCCGTTTCTCTCTCCGTGATTCTCTTGGATTATTCAACGGATCATCAACCCCCCGGCATATATAGTTATGTTTCTCTTCGGTTGATTTCACTAGACGAGCATTTCAAGAAAACATGCTACTACCGACCAACTCGACGTCAGTCGGTTTTCAACAAGAACTTTATCATAGTGTTACTGAAAAAACCAAGTTTTTTGCCTCGAAATGCCTTAACAAGAGTATTAGTCCTAGTGGTGATAGAATGAACGATTCGTTTCGGGGGAGGTTCAGATTTTGCGTTTGCACTTTGCCGAGGAAAAATAACAAAAAGACGACCAAGTGGTATGTAAAGGTAAGCAAATGATTGATTTTTTTCCAATTCAAATATGCACAAGGGTTGAAAATTAAAAACGAGTTTTTGTCCGGATGTTTTGATTGTTTAATTACACGGGAAGCTTTATCTCCAAATTAAAAACGTGAGTCTCGAACAAAAATTATCACTAAAATTTAAATTATGACTGATAGATAATTCTGCCATCATAATTCTTTATTTTGCAAGTAAAAGATAGTCATTTATTTGTAAGAATTATAGGAAAACTGCATTGGTATAGTTTTTTCCGACAATATTTCCGGTGCCGATGAATCGTAATTGATGTATGGAATTGTTTGCTGATTGCTGCATAAAACATGTGAAAATAACATTGCACCAAGGTCGCTTAGTAGGTGATGTTTACATTATTAAGAATGTTTTAAAAATTTTCGAGTACACTGAAAATACCCAAGATGATTTTCAATTTTAATCTCGCTAAATTTTTTAATGTTTACAAAGATTTTGGCACATGTGTGTATAAAGTTGAAACATCAAGCATTTGGTCTTGAAGTTATTGAATAAGTCGCGTGTGGTTGTGACATAATTAGAAAAAGACAAAACAGCACAGATGTTTTAGAGAAACATCAGCTGTTTCATAAAACTGAAGAAAAGTAAATTTTCCTGGTTGAAAATATCCGCCACACCTTTCCACTCCCATTTCTTACTCTATTTAGGGGGGATTATACCAGGTGAATAAGAGTATGGAACCAAACGTTTTTTTGCTTAAACTATTTATTTTTTGGAAAAACTAATTTATGAATGATTATAAAAATGAGATGTTTTATCGAGAATAAAATTTTTCGAAATTTTCTTTTGTTTTTGAGTTTTACAAAAATTTTAATTTTTTTAAATGGCAACCTACTATAAAACCATTTCTTTCATGAACGTTATGATCTAAGGATTATAACTATCTACTTTCTATTTAATTAAAAACAAATACATAAATTGCAATCTTCACAAAAAAATCGCGTAAGATAAAATAAAACAAAATTTCGTTCTCAAAATACGATCACATTTTTTGTATTACTACTTTAATTTATATTAATTATTATTTTCTGGAGGCAGATTTAAAAAAAACGCTTGGTTTCGTACTTTATATTCATCCTGTATATTCACTATTTATTATTTACTCAACTAACATCAGTTTGATATTCTAAAAATAAACTGATTTTTTATCGAAATGAATGCTGTGATTGGAGGTGAAAGTAATTATTATAATTAATAACAAGAGTTAGAAATAAACTAGTTCGTGTCTTGTAATTAATAATTTTGTCTGATGACTAATTTTTTCAACCCCTACACAATTGTAACTTTCGACCTATCCATATGAGAGGGTTTTCATCTTATATTCACTAAAGCTAGTGCTTTATCTTTTAAATAATGTCCAGATTTCTCACGTCTTCGCAGTGATGTTTATGACAGGAAAGACATTAAGCTTGTTTACAGCTCGTTTCTTGCATCTGACATAGTCGCCAAATCTGGGGGTGGTGTGATGGTTGTAAATACAACTGTTCAAATCCTCCATAAAACGAGCAGGTTTTGACAGTTTTTCGAGGATTTTCCGAGTTGCTGAGAGGAATTGACATTTTACGATTTTAAAAGAGCTCAAGGCTTTTCTCAGAATAGATGGATTATAATATTGAAGATAAATGGGTTAGAAGGTGTGACATTTTAACGATTATTGTGCAATTGACAGGGCTTTTGAGGGAATTCAAACACAAATAAATAAAGTTGCGTTTTGAATTTTGTATTAAAAATTATTGATAGCGGTTTGAGGACAATGGAATAACTGGTCTGTCGTTATCGATTGTGCATGATTGTTGGTGATAACTTTAATTCATTCACACAAAGGTCTATTTTTCTCAAGACTTACGTTCATAACACGTGACTTTACGCACATGTTGTATCAAAAGAAAAATTCTATGCAACGAACGGAAACGTGATGCATTTGAATGCATCCACACATACATGATTTCTTTTTGTTATTTTATAGCGGTTTTCGATGAAATTAAAGGTGCTAAACAAGTCGCATCATTTGTTGACTTAAATTAATAAATATAGCGAACAAGGTTGGAAAATTTGCTGATTATCATTTTGCTTCACTATCAATTGATATTGGAACGTTTCTAAGTAGAAATTCTAGTTACTGTGAGGAAGTAATTTATATTTTTGTGTCCTTGATGATAATTGTGCTTTTTTTAATCTAAATTCATTTATACTAGCATTTTGTTTCGATATGTGAATGCATTAGCATGCCAAAGTTTGTAATGGCTTTACTTTGAGTTTAGTCCCCTAATCAGATTTCAACATTGTTTATTAAAATCGATCAAAATTAAATTTAGGCCCGATATCAAATGAGCAATTTTCTCAATAATGCAGTTGCTCCATTTTGTTGCAGTGTTCTTAATTGACTTGTGCTAATAAGGTTGAGTTCATTTAATGGTATAAAAAATGGAATCGATGAGGTTGTTTTTAGAAGCAAACTACGTCAGGATTCCCTTCATTAATTTAAATATTTTATGAAGCACAATGAACTGTTCGAGGTAACACAAATCGATTCTTATTATTTGGCTCAAAATATGTACAATACAGTCTCAAACTTTGAATAATTTGTTGTTGAGTACCACATGTTTGTATCGCTTGATCAGGTTCTTTGTGTATATGAAATGGAGACGACATCCATTGTTACAATACGAGTACCTAACTGCCAGGTATTACGCCTTTGTCGAGGTCTTCTGAACCGTGAAGAAGACACACGTTTTACTTTCAAATGTTTTTTTTTTATATACAAGGTGAGTCGCCAACCCTCCATAAATCGAGGGTTGAAATACGAGTAATGTAATCAATAAAAATAAGTGTTAATTGGGAAACTCATTTAAGCTTACTCGCATCGTCGTCTCTTTGAACTGTCAATTAATCAATAAAATTAATTGCGGCAATTTTCATTTGTTGCTTTTAATTTAAGTGGTCGTAACTACACTAATGAAACACGTATAATTTTTCCGTGAATCCTCCCAGCTTGTACGAAGATTATGTTGTTGAACTCTACTTTGTTGTGTCATTTATACGTGGAAAAATTGAGGCTAATCAGGAAAATAATGGAAATGTCTGTTACAGCAGATTCTTTGTTTCGCATCTGACGTTTTTAAAAATAAAAAAAAAAACAGCTAACCCAGTTTTTTAGGTGAAGACACTGAAATTGTGAAATTCGAAGTCTATTTTCTGGAGGACAAACGACATAATCATATGTTTCATGTTCGTGTTATTAACAGTTCGTGTATGTTGAATGAAATTTGGTGTCAAGAGACTGAGGTTCTTACGAAAGCTGTGTAAACTAGCTTTTATCTGATGGTTTTTGTCGTGGAAGTTTAGAACTTTGACTTGGAATAAAAGCTAGCATTCAAAACGGGAAACTTTATAAAGATTCGGGTTTCAAAACTGAAATGAACAACTAAATGTCATTCACCTACGGCTAAACTAAATTAATAGTAAAATAAATTTGTTTTACAATTTGTTTGTGCTTCATGAGGTTACTTATTTCACGTTCACGATTTTTTAACGTTAATTAATAGTTATTTATTTTACAAGACCATAAAAAATTGTTTATCTACGAGTGAAACGTTAAGTTTACGAGTGACGAAGTGACGAGTGGACTTTTTTCACGAGTAGATAAACAAGCTTTATCGTCGTGTATTATATTTCGTTTTATTTTGTACTCACCTACCAGAATTTCTTGAATCTAAACAGTAGATAAAAATTATTTTTTTCACAAGACGATAAAAGACTACTTTATCTACTGAAATTAGTTGATAAAGCACTCTTTAACATTCAGTACAAAATAAATGAAATAAATTTGTTTGTAATTTAAATTTTACCAAAAACAAGCAGAAAGTCTCATGATCACCAGAAATTTACATAGCGTAATTTAATTAATTGGAAAAACAGAATAGTAGTAGGAGAATTTGGCTCGAAAAGAGGAAAACTGTTGTGAAAGTATTTGCACAGGGTCTAAATTTAGATAAAATGTTACTTATCTGGTATCACTGTCAACAATTTTATATTTGCAGACCACAAATACACAATACAGAATGTTTGTTTGCTCTAATCTTCCTTGAAATGAAACCAATTTTTGTGGCTAGTTTTGATGAAAACTACCAACTACATCCAAGATATGTCAAGAGACAAAGGCAATTTTGACGGCTTTATCACCAGGGTTTATGCACTCCGGAAGGATAATACAATTTGTATTGTTGTATAATCAAGAAACTTGTACTTTATTCATCCTAATAAAAATTTGAAATAAATAATTTCGTTGCAATTTAGTACGACTCAACCTCTCTACTTGACCACACTTTAATTACGTCAATTATGCGCTGTAAACCCATCATTTGATAAATTTCTTATTATATTCACGGTCACTGGTTCGGTTTTCCTCCGATGCGCAAACAACAAACTCTGACTCATCCATGTTATCAAAGTCCCCCTGTAGTGATTAACGAATGCTTTCTACATTGAATCCCTTCGTATCAGGCGCGCCCTCCCCTACTGTTTAATTAGCTATTTACCCACGTGCGTGAGTAAACACTATGAGAGTAGTCCTTCAAAGCACGTTGTGTATCGTCGATAAGGTGTGTTTTGATTGGTTTTTGGAAAGATATGATCGATTAGACAACGTGTTGTAGCTGTATTTTTTCTTCCAGCAGCCCACATGGCGACTGTGGGGCGAGGAAAAATCCGATGGCGCTCTCTACACCGTCTACCTCAAAAAAGTTCGTTACCATCGACCCACAAGAAGTTTGTCATCATCGCATTCGGTGAGTATATTATTCCAGACGGCTTTATTACTGCCAAGACTGATTTGAATCTGTGCGTTGTTTTCGAGAGAAATAATGAGATACGAGGACGTTGAACTTGGAGGGAAATATGGAAAATTGTTTATGGAAGGCTTTAACGAGCGTTAAGCCAGTTGTACACTGTGATTTAAATAACAATCACTAAAAGTTAAAGTACCCTCACCCGGCATTGCAAACCATGTGGAGATTATAAAATTGAAAGAAATTCCATTGAGTCTTTTCGTGTTATCGAAATTTAATCATTTCCGAATTTGAAATATGCAAAATGCCCTTGTGCTGAAACATCCCGTGTGGTGTAAAACACTGAATAAATCAATAGAGCACTTCCCGCGTTAATATTCCATGAATGAGAGTTATGCGAGAGGTGCGAGTGTTTTAATTAATTAATAAATCGTGACGATCTCGTAATTAAATCCCAGCCGGGACGTGTAAGTGAATTCGCGCGCTTCATTTGGTGCAAAAAATGAAATTCCGTTTGACATTTTCGCAGAATTATTGGCTCAATTCTAAGAAAATATCTTCTCGAGTAAATGTCAACCTCATTCGACTAATGAATTCTCGAAAGTTCACGTCCTTTTCCATTTTCTCGCACTGATTGGATTCGCATTTCAGGATTCAGATGACGAAATCTCCCATTTGGAATGGGAGACGGTCCGTGTGCGCTTTGTCAAAGCTGGCACATTGAAAAAGCTCGTCGAAGCTCTCTCGACGGACGACGGCGAGCTTGAGACCACATACATCAACGTCTTTTTGGCCACCTATCGGAGCTTTTCGACGCCGCGAGAAGTCCTCAGACTCTTGCTTCAGCGTTACGAAGAGCTTTTAGATGCGCCACCCAACGGGAAAATAGATCAGCATGAGCAACACCGGAAGTAAGCGATCGGGATTTTTCTATTTTTCGGTTACAGTGTTTTATTTCAAGGACTCTCGTTTCGGCTTTGCACGTCTGGTTGGATAGTTACCCGGAGGATTTTAAGGATCCTCCGAATTACACCGCACTTAATCATTTGCTTCATTTCTGTGAAGAGTTTCTTCCTGCGACTGAATTACACGCTAAGGTGCAGCACAGGTTGGAGCGGTACAGCAGGGAGGCTCAAGCCGATCCTTTGCTGGTGCCGCCTCCAGCGTTTGCTTTGAGGGCGGCGGCGGCCGGATGGAAGGTCTATAAACTTCCGGAAGTTCCGGTGCGACATTTTGCCGAACAGCTCACGAGGATGGATGTGGTGAGTCAATGAGAATTGTTGATTTTTGAAAATTTTAACAGATGAAGTGTTGATGTACTTGTAGAGTTTGTTTATTTGGGAATTTGGGTTTAATTTTAAAAACAAAATTTTTGAGGTCTTGATCATCGGGTGCCTTGAAAATAACTATTTATGATGTGCTTCTGGATTTTTTGTATGCATAAAACATGGTTTTTTAAGTTAATGACACTAAAGATGTGATGATAATTGAGGTGTTGTGTTTTAATTGGAATTTCAATAACTCAGATTTTTTCATGTCGTTGATTTTTGATCTTATTAAAAATTACATTTTTATACAAGATTATATGAGGTTTCACTGAATAATATAAAACATGTAAATTGACTTGAATACAAAAATACATAATAAAAATTTTTGACATTATTTTAAGTTTGTTTTTCCTTTCTTGATGTTTTAAAAAATATGACAAATGATTGTTGCCAAGTTAAATTATAAACAATTATAGTTATTTGTGATCTACAAATTTTCAAACTATTATTCTGTACATAACAATAACAAATAACACTTACCAATAAGACATGATACCAAAAAATTTTTCTAAGACAATGAATTACGAGTAGGTACTTGGTGAGTCGTTTTTTTTATGCCTATCAGTGTATTGTTCTGTAATAGTAAAAATTAGTAGTTTGACACATTTTTAATTTGGACGTATTTTAAGCACACTTTATTTATTGATTTTTTTGAGTTTTTATTTAAAATAGGCTTTTCTAAAAGTGATTGTAACAGAGGAAACGTTTGTATTATTTTTTTAATGCAATCCGGAAGCTCATATTTCTGGATTGTTTCCAAAAGCATGGTCGAGGCTTTTTAGAGGTTTCAAATCATTTCAAAAGAAATTTGTTTCATCACTATTTAGAGTTGTTAGAATAGCAAGGAAACACTGGGATATACATAGATATACAGGATGATTTTTAAAAAACGGCGGGCACTGTAGAATTTTTATTTATGGCCCGATTTAAAAAATAAAATGGCTTTTAATATAAGCTGACCATTTAAGAATTTTTTATAAACGTCATAGTTTATTTTGGGCTACATTCAACATTCCAATTTTAAATTGGAATCCATATCTTTTTCTTCATAATTTGGAAGATATTAGTTTTCTTGGTACATAAAAATGTAAAACTGACCTTAAGCAATTAACCTCACTCTTGGTTTTTGTAATTTTTATCCTGACAGCTAGAGAAAAAATGACAACAAATCAAAATAATTTATTGAACCTATATTATGGCTGGCATTATTGTTTCGGAAAATCGACGCCAAAATTAAATTTCAAAATTTTAGTTTCAAATGTCAATCATGATGACAATAAAGCGTGGCTTACATTGACAGTTTCTGAACTGACATAAATTTGATGTTCAAAATTCCGTGTTCGCCAGTGTACTTTCACTAAAAATTATTGTTAAAAAAATTATCAAAGTTGAAAAAAAAAATAATAAAAGTTAACAAAATCTAGTTACATGCCATTATTGTAATGTCAAAAAGCAGCAAATGAAAGAAAATATTGCCAGTATTTTTTCAAATTTTTATTAAGAAATGACTATAATTACCTATAACAACCTACTCGTATTGCCTATAACATCTAATTTAGTGTTATTAATTTATTTTATTGTTAATTATTTATTTATTTTGTTTTCTTTTAATAAGATTATTATTAACGTCATTTTTTAACACCATGTAACTAGATTTTATTAACTTTTACTAATTTCTTTTAACTTCTTCTTTTAATTTCTAATAACTTTTTTAAACAAAAATTTTTAGTAAAAAAGAACATATTGCATATGTCTGTCAAGAAAACTAATTTCTTCCAAAATATGAAAAAAAAATGGGTTTTAATTTAATATAAGAAAGTTAAATATAACCCAATATAGTATGACATTTAGAAAAATTTTAAACATCGTTTGAAAAAAATTTTAAACGATTACCACATTAAAAGACATTTTGTTTTTTTTTTTTTTTAATTTAAATTCTACAGCGCCTGCCGTTTTTTAAAAATCACTCTGGATTTCTTATTTAAAACATTGGGTATTATCTTACTGTTATACAAGTCTTATTTTTTAAATTTAGATAAGTCAGTAAACTTTTTGAAAAGTCTTCTCAAGAAATTACAAATCTCAAAAACTTTTTTAAAAAGTTTTTAAACAGTTTTTTACTACCACAAATAACTTCAATGTGTTTAAATTCTAAAGCAAAATTTAGATTGTTTACTCACTTCATAATAATTACTTTGTATGTATTATTGATTCTAAAGTGCTTTTCTCTCATTTTTTATATAATACTCTTTATATTCAGGGCATCAAAATTTCCACAAACTTCCACACTTCACCATCGCAACACTTTCGTTTTCAGAACTTTGTTATACTTTGTTTTTTTTTTTCAGAATCTCTTCAAAAAACTCGTTCCTCACCAGTGCCTGGGCGCAGTGTGGTCCCGCCGCGACAAGAGCCGCTCCCACGAGGCGGCCACCGTGTTGGCGACCGTCAACCAATTCAACGCCGTCTCCTTTCGCGTCATATCGTCAATTCTAGTCGAACCCGGTCTTAGGGCCACGGACAGGGCACAAATAGTCTCATGCTGGATAGACATAGCACAAGAACTTCGCCTAATAAAAAATTTTTCAAGTCTGAAAGCCATCATTTCGGGATTGCAGAGCAACCCAATCTATCGATTACACCGCACTTGGCAAGCCATACCCAAGGAGAAAATCGAGCTTTTCGACGAGCTCGCCAAGATTTTCAGCGAGGATAACAACCAGTGGACCCAGAGGGAGTTACTGATGCGAGAAGGCACGGCAAAGTATGCCGACACAGTCGGCGAGAATGATAAACAACTCCAGAAGATTTTCCAGAAGCAGAATCACCACACTGCGAACATCTCGTTTGGGACGATTCCGTATTTAGGGACGTTTTTGACCGACTTGACGATGATTGATACTGCAATTCCCGATGTGATCGGTGATGGTTTGATCAACTTTGATAAAAGACGCAAAGAGTTTGAGGTTTTGGCTCAGATTAAATTGCTACAAGGGGCTGCGAATGCTTATCATTTCGATGCAGATCCCGCTTTTGACCGATGGTTCGATTCAATTTTGGTATTGGATGACAGAGAGGCCTATCAGCTCAGTTGCCAGATTGAGCCGGGGAATAACGCCGGGAAATCTAAGAAAAAAACCTCGGGTGGTCATCAGAAAAACGACTCGATTGCCAGCACGTCGAGTAGTAACAGTTCGCAGTTTTATTGTGATATCGACAGTATGCCTAGTTCGCCTCATAACAGCATCGATCGCAAATTGAGTCCGTCGCAAATGTCGAATTCGAGCAGTAATTCGTCGCTTCCCTCATTAGATGTTTCATTGAATAGTTCGCATTCGGGGGGTGCTAGTAATAAGTTGCAAGTTCCTTATGCCAATACGGGGGGGACCTTGAGTCCGAGTCATTCGCAAAAGAGCAGCCCCGATTTTTATATCATTAAAGTTACTTATGAAACGGATAGTGTAGAGACTGACGGAATCGTCCTGTATAAGAGTATTATGTTGAGTAATAACGAGAGGACGCCGCAGGTTATCAGGAATGCCATGTACAAATTGGGATTGGAGGGGAATCCCGATAAATATACCTTGGCTCAAGTTTTGCCCGACAAAGGTGTGTATGTTATTTAATAAACAAATTTGTGTCTACTGAGATGATTACACGCCGATTAAAGTTTTTACCTTGATTTGATCAAAAATAAATGATTCTAGGACTGTGTTTAATTTACAGAAAAAAAAATGTTTCATAAAAAGATGCATTTTTTAAGGAAATTCTTTGTATTAATTATACTGAGTGATTTTGAGATATGTGCAAATATTTGATAGTAGAGCTCAAAAGAAGTCAAAATAACTCAACTTGCCTTATCCGAATATTTATACAGGCTGAGTCACTTGTAGTAAAGACCCTGACCGATTCGTAAACGCAACCCAAAATACATTCTCACAGTCAACTTTGCTTTTTGTACGTTTGAAAAATTTAGTTTATTAAATTCAAATTAAAGTAATTGTTGATATGTCATTAGTTAAATTTGACAGTGTCATCAATTCCACTTTTTTCCCCTTGAATAACTTGGATTCAACTTGCAAATCCTAATTGAAATTGGATCAAAGGCGTAAATGAAATTTGTTTTTTGGGTTGCATCACCAGATCGTCAGGCTCATTATCTTATCTGAATCGCTCTGTGTAACAAAAGTTTCCTATAAACATGTATCGAAAAATGCTTGGGAGGGATCTACACCTGAAACGGGGCTATTAGGTTTTTGCTAATATTTCAGAAACCATTTAAGATAAAATTACAAAATTTGGTACAGATGATAATCTTTATACACCTAAACGAATTCAAACATCAGATGTCGAAATTTCTAATCAGGGGCGTCCGAAACTGGTGGGGTTTAGGGTAAAAAATACCCTATCTATTTTGGCTCTAGTTTCTTTAATTGCACTGACCAAAATGGTGGTCACTTTGAACAACTCCTTTAGATTTAGACAAATTCATTTAATTAATGTTATTATTGTTACTGTAATGTAATGTTAATTAGTTGAGGTTGATTAAAAAATATGAATTTCTTGCTTTTATTATTCTGTAAATACCGATTTATTTGAATGTTATATTGGTGTGTAACATAAATTTTAAATTAATTTTATTCAAAAACAATAAGTCGTATCGACACAAGAGAGACTTTTCTGTGATAAACTAAACAAAAACTTAAGATTTTGTTGCTGAAAGTACGAGAAAGTAAAGCCAAAATAAATAGGGTATTTTTTACCTTAAACTCCCCCAGTTTTGTACGCCCCTGATTAAAAATTTCGACATTTGATGTTTGAATTCGTTTAGGTGTATAAAGATTATCATCTGTACCAAATTTTGTAATTTTATCTTATATGGTTTCTGAAATATTAGCAAAAACATATTAGCCCCCTTCCAGGGGGTGTAGCTCCCTTACCAAACATTTTTCGATACATGTTTATAGGACTTTTGTCTTAGAATTAAATATCCTATTACCTGTTTAAATTTGTAACTATAAAAACGGAACACCCTGTATATGTAGTTTTTGAGATACCAACTCAAATTGTAAACAAATATGATCTTTGAGAGTTCTCCAAAATCTATAACATTGTTTAAAAAAATAGTTAAAATTAGCAAAAACCGGCACAGAAGGTGTGTCCTCATGTAAAAAAAATGCTTTCAAAGCCAATGTAGAGGTTTCACCATCTATATCTCAGAAACTATAAACATTCGGATAAGGCAAGTTGAGTTATTTTCACTTTTTTTGAGCCATAGTATCGCCTGTTAAAATATTTGCACATTCCTCAAAATCACTCTGTATTTTTTTAGGAATTTGAATTAACTTACATAAAAATATGAGTTTCTTACATTTTAATGTAGAAAAAAATGCTTAAAGTGTCTAAAAATTTCACGACTGGGCGAATTAGTTAATTGCTTAATCAGCGGAAAAATAAAAAGTGTTAGTCATGAAATATTTTTGCAGAGATGGTTCTCCCGTCGAACGCCAATGTCTACTACGCCGTGAATCCCTCCTACAACTTGAATTTCATTCTGCGTCCGAAGAAATCAGAAGAGTCTGATACTAGTATGAAGAAAGGGAAGTGAAGTTACTACATAATAGGTGCAATTTAATTTAATTGAAATGAGCTGTTTTGACAAATAACGGAACAAATAACAACTGTGATAAAAAGCACAAATACTCTCTTTTTACATCACATTTTACGTTTTTATTTTTATTTATTTATTGCGATGAGGAAAAGGATTTGAAATGTGCTGAAGTAACCATATGGCATGGATTGTTTTATTTATTTCACTTTTTTTAATTTAAAGCTTTACTTTTTGTGTATTTAATGTAAATTAATAAAGGGCTAAGTATTGTAAATGTGAACAAATGTAATTTATTGTACTTATTAATGTAGAATGTGTTAAGTAGGACCAACTTTTTCACCTTTAGCCTGACTAATAAATAAGCATTACTAGTGACGTGGCAAATTTGTTAACTACTCTCTACTGGTACTTAATTTAGACAATACCAATTTCAACATTTTCAGTAGGAACTTTGTAATGTACCTATTTTTGTAATAAATAAAAATATACGAAATCTACTTGTCATTTTATTATTCAAAAACCCTTAACTATTTAACCAGAGTTTTTATTGTTTTAATTTCTGTAATGTAGAAAAGCTAACAGTGGCGGTTAGAGGGCGACGTATGTCTGTCTTTCTTTGAAGCAAAAGAATTTTGTAAAATTTGCAGGGTAATGAACGGTTTGCTAGATCAACATTAGGACATAACTGTTATTCGAATAAGTGTTTTTATTACTTTTATAAAAGTAAATAACCGAAAAAATTATTCTTAATAGGTATAGTATTTTTAAGGAAAACAGTAAACCGGAAAGGTGGAAATAGTTTTTCACAAATTGAATTATAATTATGTAATTTAATTGCCTTATAGATTTTGAGATAAGATTTGTAAATGGGGCGACTTACAAACTTAAATAATCGTAAATAACTGCACATACACAAATATTTCAACACACGATATAAATTAAAAATTAAATAGTAGAATGCCGCAGCAATGGTTCTCGGAAATCAATATAAGATTTCGTGTGTACCTAAAGGCATTTGTGATCGATTTTTACAAAAAATTGTTTATTTTTTCACTGAGAGAGAAAGTGTAGTGTCCTTGTGGGGATGTGGTCTGGTGACCAGGCTAGAGACCGACGTCACAGACCGATCTGGTCAAGCCGATAGTAGCAATTGGTAAAAGACAAAAATAATCGATTGCCTTGTGTTTGTGTCACCTCAGGTTGAACCTCTATATTGATTGTGACGTAATATTGTGAAGACGCAGGTCCAACATGGCGCCAACGAATACCACAATTTATCCTTTTAGTTCTCGCAGGACCGTCAAGGAAAAAAGCATGCGCGTCGCGAAAATACCCATCTCTGTGACGGCGAACGATATGCAATTATTTTGATAGAAAAGTGTTTCGCAAAATGACGATGTATTAACACCGAGAACCGCCGAAAAAAGCATCCTTCCGGTGAAAAATCACCAATTCGATTCCTTCTCTTCTTAAAACTGTACGACCAAAATGTGGGTTTGGCCCACAAATTAAACAAATAGGCTACTGAGGGGACTTGCGGCTTTGGTCCATGACCTTACTCATTCATTTTCATAATTGGTGAAAGTGTAAAACTGGTAACATATGTATTTGGAAAAATTTTAATTTCGGGGTGCGAAGATGGTGATGTGATGTAACTGTTTTTTTTATTTTTTTAATATTGTGCATCATGGTCCTTCGAGGAATAATCGTTTCCTTCTGTGGGATACGATCAACTAACAGCTAACATGAGGATTTGTATACAAATTGTAAGTGGGCAAAGATAGCTTATTGATTGAAAGTATTTGTAGATAAGCGCAAAATTTTATTACAAAAGGTGTTTTTTGTGATTCCGATTCTAAAAGATCGTGTGGTGCTCTTGACAATTAAATAATACAACTAAAAGATCACTTTCTTCAGGTAATGAAGTAAACCAAGTTTACTAACATATTGAACTGAAAGTAATCGAGGGTCTAAATTTTTAATTACACCTTTGAGCTACGGATAAAAGGATTAGAATTAATTCAAATATTAATTAGAAATTTAGAACTTGAACTTGTTTCATACAATATCTAGTGTTATTCAAGAAACTTATAGAATATGTATGCATTGGAAGCTCGCACGCACCATTTAATATGTAACATGATCAAATTTAAAAGCAAGAGTAAGACGAAAGAGTTTACTCTAGTACGAGTGTTTATATTAAAAACATTACCACACTGTTTTTCTATTGTGCTTCAAATTAGGTGTGCCAAGCGTAGAGTGGTGTTTGCATCACCAATAATAATAAAAATATTTTTAATTTTTTTATTTGTTTTAAATTTGTTTTACAATTACAAGACAAATTTTATCAATTACACAAAATTTGTATGTTATTTAGTTATACAGGGTTATTTATAAATATGCAGCAATGTTGAAAAACTTTTTATCAAAAACATGTACACATTTGTAGGTTGAAAAAAACTAATAATTTGTTCATTAAGAAACATTTTATTAAAAAATCTTCTAAATTCTTTAAGAAGTGTTTAAAGTGAACGTAAAAAACCATTAGTAATTATTTAATATTTAAATATTGATACTTACATTATTATTTTAAAGATTTCAAAAATAAACTACACTATCCCGGCGCATCCACCATTTTTTCAATTTTTTTGAAACTATTTTTTTTAATATAAGTTTTAGACGTACAATAACACTTTTTGGAGAATTTTGTACATTTTTTAATAAATTATTTATTAAAATTATTATAAATTATTTGTTTCTGTTTTTAACTTACAAATGTGTACATATTTTTCATGAAGGTTTTTTCATTTTGCATGAAAATGTGCAAGAATTATTTTCAGATGTGTTCACTTGTTTTTATGCGATTTTAGAAATATATTCTTTCAATGGAATGTTTTTATTTAAAATAAGTTAGTCACTATAAATTTTTCAGTGTGTAGAGGAAATTATTTGTGTCGACAAAGTTCTAAATTCCGTCAGATTAGAAAGTATTTTCAAGGAACGTTGAAAGTGATATCTTTTTTGTAAAACTTCTTTTTTGATCAGGATAACTCTTTGAATATAACACAAAATTAAAAACATCATGTTTTAAGGAGTGGTCAATATTAGCTAAATACCCACTCTATGTTGTAGTACAAAATATTCCTTTCTGTAAAGTTTCAATGAAGTTAATTTTGGACGTCCATATAATTTTCACCATTCATTGCTGCAAGCAATAGGTGTACAATATTTCACTAAATATATTTGCCTAAGTAAAGAAGCGAGTTTCTATGACCTGGTGAGGCCTGGATATCATACATGTAAGCAAATATCTAAATGCGATCTCTTCCATTTAAAACGCAAAGTGTGTAAAAGAGATCTTAAAATGTCACGTTATATCGCATCCAAAAAGAAAACATTTATATATTTTTATAAAAATTGCTATGCTATTCGTACTTTCATAATGCTTCATTTGGTATCTTGAACAAATATGTTTTTGCTAAACAAAAAGTCACGTATTTATAAAGTTTTTTGGGATTGTGCAAATCTGAAAACATTTCATATATTAATGAGTTTCTGAAATGTTTTCAGTTTTAATTGGATGTAAAACCCATCTTAATTTGGAGGAGAATATGAAATGAATTTCAGACTTTGCGTAAAATTCAACTAGTTCTAAAGGAAATTTAGAGGTTGCAAGCATTTTCCTGAATAAAATATTCAATATATTTAGAATCTGAAGTGGGTAATAAATCTTTTCATTGATTTCAAATGGTACAGAAGTAAGGCAAATTGAACTTTCTGGGATCAATAGATATTTACATTTATTAAACTTTCTAGACATTACCTATGTCAGATAGTTAATTTCATATCTCCCACTTAAATAGATTTATATTAATTTATTTTTGAAATAAACAACTTAAATTTTGTGTATCACTTAGTATGAGGACTGGATTTGAAGCATGTGCGTTATTTATTTTTTTTCCTATTTCTGAAATGTGTAGATATTTTTCATGTAGCATTATGTACACACGGTTAATGTTAAATCGAATGTGACTGCATGTTTAGAATTTGGATTGGATTCGAAAATGTTTTCTGTGTTGCATAATAAAATCTCCACAAAACGTTAAATTACAAATATCTCACGTATGTTTATTTATATCTCGTATTTAAATAACGTACCCAAATGACATTTTAAAGCACAATCGCACATTAAAAGTGTTTATATACAATAATTTCATATCGATTTAGCCACTACATTCATCACTTCGCATAAACCGTTTTAATCCAATTCGAATTTGATAAATGACACGGTATTATAAACAGTGTTACATTACTTGTAGAAAATAATTATTTTAGTCTATCTTTCCAAAGTTTGTTAAAACTTTTTTTATAATTTTAGTGAAAAAACAACGTTCTACATGTTTTTAATGCCAATTTGCTAATTGGCTAATTTCACTAACGTCGAGCTAATTTACGACGCAGTAGAAAAATTTTACGCATTGCGTGTAACTGCAACAAGTCTCCATAGTAATTTACCACTATTTGATTGTACTTACCTATTCATAGTAGCAACACTAACCAGGGAAAACTCGCCGTGAAATATCCGATTTACCATTTATGCAAATTTATACAAAATTTTTTTGTCGCGTGAGCAATAAATAAGTCATAGAACTCAACGCAGATATACTCCGATCTTTTTAAAACTGTTTAACACCGGAAAAATTTCTTTAATCTTAATTGCAGGTAAATGTGAACACAGGTGTTATTAAGAGGCCGTACAAAGTATATACTAAGGTTTCCTTTACATAGGCAACGTTTTTTATGTTTATGTTGAAACTCGGATATACCTAAAGAGCATAATTTTATTATTGTAATTGATTTTTATGAAAAGAAATGGAAGTCGAATCATCGATTTATTTTTGGTGTGGAAAACATGGTAATTAGAAGACAAGTTAGTCATCGGGCATACAACTTCAACTGATTTCAATATTTATTATTCAGTTATATTTACAATTTATTATAAGGACACAACTTTATTTAAATGATGCTCCTATAAATCGCAGATTTTGTTAATAAAATCTGTTTAAATCGTCTTCATTTGCTTTGATACAGTGAGTGAAATTCAAAAAGCTTGCTGTTTGTGAGCTTTTTCAGTGAAGCACTCACACTTAATTAAACATAACTTTCACTTTAGGGGCGTACTTCCATATTTCGCGATTCATTGCATATGTGTTAAAAGTGCTTTCACATTTAGGCATTTTACAAAATTCAGTAAATGCAATAAACAAGGGCGAAATGTGGCATGTTGCATGCGAAATAGTTTCTGACATATTTGCTTTGGTGTATTTACTTCTTATCTTGATTTACATTACTATTATTTGCCGTTTTCGCTCTACCTGTAAATGCCAGATCATTTTTTTTTGAAAAAAAAACACGTTTATTGTTGCGGAAATTTTGTTGCAGAGGAGAGAGCGGACTTTTATGTTTACAATTACTTTGCTGCATTAATTTTTCTAAAGCAGTGTGAAAATAAAACGCCGGATTTTTGTATGAATTATTTTTGTTTTCATTTGCATTTTTGCGTATTTTGTCGTGGTGGTGTGAAAAGTTATCGCTCTATTGTCGAACAAAACAAAGAGCACTTTATCGTACCAAACATTAATCATAATATTAAAGGATTAAAGTTATTGGTGGGATTTTTGCATGGGATTTTATTAGTGGAGTGAGCTCTCACCTGTAGTTGGAAAGTTACACCATCAAAATGACTAATGAAGTTTTGAAAGAATATTTTTCCTTCATTAATCTAAACTAATTTCAGTAATAATTCAAAAAGGAAGTAAGTTGGTATGTACATATAGTATCTATTTGTTTTTTATTATAAGTTTTTATTTTTACAAATAAAGTTAAAAAATTTAATACCTATGCATTATTTATTATTTATAATATTCGGAAAGATTTTACTGACTTCGTAAATAGTTGGTATAAATAACATTAGTAAGGTTAATATTTTTACAATGCACATAGTTGTTATTTGATTATTACTTTGTAAAATTGATTTTCTAAAGAAAAAGTTAATTTGCTTAGTGTTTATCTAGTGTATGCAGATTGGGTCGCATTGTATCGTTCCTATCTCAACCAACCTGGGTTGGAGTAATTAAAATCTGTGATCAAAATCTATGACAGCCTTTCTCAAACTGTAGTCCCCAGATAAGAAAGGATTCTATTTAAATTGTTTTCATTTTTTTAATTAATATTGAAATGAGCAATATATTGAGTTTAATAAATAAGTCTATTTAAAAGAACTAATTTGATTTTTTTAACTAATTTATCAATTGTAATTTGTAATTTATTTATACTCTACAAGAACACTTATCTACGACCGAAAGTTTGATGAACGCTGAAACTTTGGCAAACACTCATCTATAAGTTTGAGACTATTTAATGTCGAATACTCGTAGAACAAAGTAAATCTTATTGATTTGATATTTTTTTCAGTACAGTACATATTTTAAAAACGGTCAATTTTGTTGCATTTAATAAAACGAAATTTTATTTGTCTTAAAAATATTAAAAAAAAAAATGTAGTAATAGATTGGACTTTTTTAAAACATTAAAATTACCAATAATTTTACACAAAGAAAGTTTATTTAATTTAATTTTATTTATTTTATTTAATTTTACTTTAATCCAATCTATTGCTGAAATAGAGACTCTGAGCTTTTAAAAAAACATTTTTATTGTTTTGTAAGTTAGTCTATGGATAGGATTGAAAAAACATCTGGAATAG